TCTGTTCTACCTGAATCAATTTTACAGCTTCTAGTTCACTCATTGTTTTAGACACAATAATCTCATCGAGAAAACCCAAATTTCTCAAAGTATTTTCTATGAATTCTCGTCTATCATTTATTTCTTTTCGACGTTCTCTCGTAAAATATCTCGGTATTCGAATTTCTACATCTTCGGGGGTAACGCCATATTTTATTAATATGTCATCATAATAACTGTGTTCAGAAAGATCAACATTTACTAATTCATGTTTTAATTCTAAAACTCTTCCTATAATTGATTCCAATAATTTTTTAAGTAAGATACGTTTTTGTGGTTGTATTATTTGATCGTAACACTCTTCTAACTTATTACAAACAATGATGTACTTTACATACAATTCCGAGACAATTTGATGTGCCTTCTTTCGATCCTTTTGCGGTTTTGAGCTTTGCACAGACGAATCAGTCCGTATTAATTCATCTATAGTATCTTGGGTCTCTTTCCAAAGTTCGTTATACGTTGCATTCGACATATTTGTATTTTATTTTTAGGAATGTTTCTGTACTTCTAAGTTCAACTAACTAAACTTTTCTAACTAAATGAAAGTTACAAGTAATTCTTTGAACGAAAGTATATATATACTGTTTTATTTACCTTAGCGACGTTTGATCGTTAAAAGCATTATAATTCATTCGTCCGGTTACATCAATCGAATTTCGCGCGCCACGATTGAAGTTGATTATGCGTGTCCTTATGTTTTAATAATATATTTATTATATCATTGTTTCTTTTTTGCTTTTTTCTTTTTTTTTTTTTTTTACATAGAAACATTTATTTGTATGTATTATTTCTTTATTATAGATGTGATGTCAATAAGAATATTTGAAATAGATAGAATAGCCAAATCTAACCAATATGGAACATGAAACTATTCTTCATTGAACGAAATAATTAAATATTTGTTATTGTTAAAAAATTTACATTTCTTATGTTTTTTTATATTATTCAGAGGTTTTTTTTATTTTATTGTAACATTATATAACGAGTATAGTTTTGAGATGACGCATTTAGATTTACATTTAATGATATTAAAATTTGTCAAGTTAATATCATATAATGTTATAAAAATTGAGTGTGTTTTGTATTTTTCGATAATATTGTATTATTATTTCTTTGTACAAATTATACAGTGAGACTGAAAACAAATTCTAATCAAGAACACTAAGAGAATATAATTGAGATTATATATTTCTGATTATTATTCATGAATCTTAGTAATTATTTAAATTAAAATTACAAATGAAAGATAAATGTATAATTTCTTGTAATTTCAGTTCAACACATGACTTTTCATTGACATTTAAAAGTAGTATTGAGCATATATATGTTATGATTAATTATTGTAATTGAACATATCTTCAATTCAAAAGATTTGTTTCTTTAATTAAATATTTAAATTAGACATATATAAATATTTAAATTATAAAAATATTTAAATATTAAATTAGAAAATATTTACAATAATGTTTACAGAAGTTCCTCTATAATCAACTCTGAAGAATAATATAATTTTTTTCTAGAGAATAAATTAAGCATCATTTCAATATTCAATATCAGATAAGCGATATTTGGATTTTATTTTCTTAGCACCGTATTAAAGATAAAAATTTTATTATGATATTATTTTTATTATTATTTTTTCCAGATATATTTAATTGAAAAATATTTTATAATTATTAGTAGTTAAGGATTTCCTAAATCTTATTAATTATGTAATATTCTTATATAAATTTTAAATATTAAATCTATTTCTAACTTCTATGAAATTTTGCAATTATAACAAAAAACAAAATCTTTTTACATTTTTAGCATAAACAAAATAAATCTATATATACATGTAAATAAAATTGTCATTTCAATGAAAAGGAAATATTAGTAATAGGAAAGCATGGTGACTAAAGAAGATAGTCGTGATAAATTAATCACTAATTAATAGAAAAATCGAACTGTAAAAAAATTCAGAAAAGAGCCTTATTCCTACTATAGTTCAATTTATTTATAAAAATTTAGAGATTGTTTAGAAAATTAGAGATTATAAATTTACATAAACGGCTGCAGTTGCTTATTTCAACAATTTTTGAACATTTGTGAACAAATTATTAATAATTATTAATAAAAAACAAGTTATTGTAAAAATATATTTTTAAATTTGAAGATAGAATTGCATACACTTGTAATAAAAAATATCATTGTTATTAAAGTTATTATTTTAAAATATTTTTAAACATACAAAGAATTTTGAAATTTTAATAATAAATAAAATGAAATATATATATATATATTTATATAAATCTTATATCTAAATAAATTACATATATAAAATTGATATAAATAAAATAAATTTGAAGTATCAATATAAAGTTATTCATAATTTTAATAATTTCATTCATTCAAGTAAAGTTTGTATTTCTTCTCGATTGTTATTTCTTTACATTTATAATGTATATATATTATATTATATGTAAAGAATACACGCGCTGGGCAGCAACAGCCCGAATTCGATAGAAGATTTACATTGCAATGCAACTAACTTAACATCGTAACGTACTTCAGACCGTTCCGGTTGGCCACAGTCGCTCGTTTCAAAACGTCATCTTGGCTGGTAGTTGCTGGCTAAAATAATATTCTTGTAAATATACCGATCACCACCGTTTACGGGTGGTGATGATAACGAGACATTCGTAGAAATGGCGACGGTATTAGAGCAGTTTGTAAATAATGTGCGGACGCTTTCGAAGCAAGGTACGGTAAAAATGTGTGAGTTTTTCTCTGATAGATGATAACATAACCTCTAAATAATTTGTACTATTTTTTTATCCTACAAATGCATTATTTTTATATTACGATATTATTACTTTATCTTATTTTTAAAATAACCTCTATTACTTGTCTCATTAATGAAACGATCTTTCATTCATTCAACATTTACTATTATACTTGCTTTGTTGAATCAAATTATGCATCTTTCAAGCATTGAAATTTTTTTGAATTATTGTAAGATCGAATTTATTACTTTTATTAATAACTTTTTGACACGATCGATAAGATTATTTTAATGCAATCGATATATATATATATATATATATATATATATATATATATATATACATACATACATATACATATAGATATATATATATATATCATACACATACATATACACATATAGATGCAATAGATGAAAAGAATAATGGATATATATTCTATTGGTTTCTTAACTATAGGTAACTTCCGAGAATTATATGAGATTATAAATAAGAATATTGACGCACTAATGAAAAATGGACAACACCTAGATAATGTTTTGGAAACGTTGGACTTGCAACAACACTCCCTTGGAATTTTGGCAGTATTGTGCATTAAATTTTCATTGCCTAATCCCAGTAGTACCAATAATCCTGATGCATATAAGCCATTATTTAATCAGGTTCAAGAATTTTTCATAGGGTGCAACAGTAAACAAGTTCAATTTGCACCAGATACATGTAAGCTTATTTTATTTTACAATCTTTATATTAATTGTATAGTTTTTTTTAAATACAAAATTTTTATTAAAATCGAATATCTTGTAGATGCAGAACTATGTCATTTACTCACTCAAACTCTAGTTGAATTGCAAGTGCCGTTACGTGGTATAGAATTACTGCGTAGAGCTATACGTAAGATCCAACTGTTTGATAGTCAGCTAACTTCGATACATGCTGATCTCTGCCAATTATGCCTTCTGTCTAAGTGTTTTAAACCAGCGCTTGAGTTTCTTGATATTGATGTTACTGGTATTAGCCAGGAAGGTGCACAGTTTGACTCAAAGTTTTTTTTACTTTATTATTATTATGGTGGTATGATATATACAGCACTAAAAAATTATGATCGTGCATTATATTTCTTTGAAGTGTGTGTAACGACTCCTGCTATGGCTGTCAGTCATATTATGTTAGAGGCCTATAAAAAATATATTCTGGTCTCTTTAATATTACATGGAAAGATCTTAAATTTACCTAGGTACACGAGTCAGGTAGTAAATAGGTACATAAAACCATTAAGTCTACCATATCAAGAATTAGCAACAGCTTACTTGACAAATAATTGTGAAGAAGTGCTGACCGTTATTAGAAAATACCAAGAACTTTTTGTAAGAGAGCACAACTCGGGATTAGTTAAGCAAGTGCTCAGCTATTTGTACAAAAAAAATATACAGAGGTTGACAAAAACTTTCTTAACACTTAGTTTAAGCGATGTTGCAAGCAGAGTTCAACTGGCTGGCCCTTCGGAAGCAGAGAAATATATTTTAAATATGGTAAACTCTATTTTATCGACAATTTTTTCATATTTAATATATATTTAACAAATTCTTTTTGATTGTAGATAGAAGATGGAGAAATTTTTGCGACTATAAATCAGAAGGATGGTATGGTAGTATTTCACGATGATCCCGAAAAATATAATTCACCACAAATGTTAGCTAAACTTCAGAAAGAAATGCAAACGTGCGCAGAATTAGATAAGCGAGTGCTCGAGATGGAAGAGGAAGTTGTTCTTACCCCACAATATGTTCGAAAAACTTGTGGTCAAAACGATCAAGACGATCAAACAGTTGGACCCACAAATGTCACAAATGGTCAAGCTCAGTTAAAACATAACACCTACTCTATGTAACATACATACGTCGTTGTGCATTATCTTTATTAAAAAAGAAGGAAATTAACGAAAAAGTCTTGTTAAAGGTCAAGCACAAGTACATTTTGAAGCCTGTTTTGGGTGAAATATATAAATCTGTCAAAATTTGGCTAAAATAATCTATTTTGTACAAAGATTACAAGACTACGATTAACAACTAGTAAAATTCTAAACAATAAGAAATTAAGGCTGAAACTAATCGCAGTTTATTGATTCTAGAATTTTTCTTAACAGTTGTATTGACGCTCATATTTGTAAAATCACAATTTAAAAACAACATATAGTAAAAACACAAACGCAAGATAATAAAAAAAGAAGTGTAGTACGTATCTGTATAAAGTTACCAATATGCTTTATCTCATAATTATTATTGAGTTTGTTTCAATTTGCATATAAAATACATCACGAGATAATTAACATCTGAAGCAGGCTTTATGAATAAAATTACGTAGATGATTAAAATATTGTGGTAGTTATCCACGAGAGGTCGTATTGTTTTGAAAAATAAGGATACACGCTGTTTCATACATGAGCATTTTTAACACTAAAAGTAAACTTAATAAATTATTGAAATAGTACAGCTTTCTAAATGTATAAGTATGTGTTACAAAATTAGTACTTAGTAGTATGATCTTAGTTATTATTTCTTTTTGAGCGATTTACAAATTTATTTATATTTCTTTTATTACATTTATATATTAGACAAATTCAAAGTTTCAGGTAAGTAATATATTTTTTTTACAGTGAAAAATGAAAGTGAGTCTTTTTATATTAGATGTTTCAAATATAAAATTACCAAAGCATGTAATATCTTTAATAACATGATAACAGTAAACTATTATGCAAATAATTTTGTGCTTAATAATAGAAATGTAAACTTAAGATTTTTAATTGATTCTTGTGTTAATCTATTTTGAACTGTAAGTAGAAATAAATTTGTTCTTCGTTTCTCTTTTTTTTTTGGTCCATCCTTATAATAAAATACAACAGTTGTAGCTGATAATGCAAAAAATAATCTCTATTTACAAGCATTTGTTTAGAATAATAACAATAGTATATTAATATTTTAAGATAACAGATCTTGAATTTTTGTTAAAACCATTTGAACCATTTCATGTGATTCCATTGTTCCGTCAAGGAATATTAGTTCTGTAGATGCCTGATCATTTTGTTTAATTACTGATAGATATTTTAAATATTCTGGCCAAACAAATGCATCAAAATATCCTGGAACATCAGCAGGAGAATACGTTCTTATGCTCCTACGTTTCCAACATTCTTCTTTGGTCAATGTAAGGAAATATTTAAGTTCGCATAAATTTGAAATCGGTTTAAACCCAAATAATAAGAAACCTTCTAATATTAATACTCGTCTTAACTCTTTATCAGATTTATCAGATCTTTTTGGCTTAGACTCTATCAATTTTAAAATGTCCGAATACATTTTGTTCATATCCAAGCTTGATAAAATTTCCCAATTAATATGATTTAATGCTGGAATTTTAACGTGCCTTGGATCATCTGGAGATAAAAAATAACTATCTTGATGTATTACAATAGAATCATCTAACTTTTTATGTAATTCTTTAGCTAAGGTACTTTTTCCGCTGCATGTTACTCCTGAGATGCCAACTATTAACCAGTTTTTTCTGTTCATCGCTGATTTTTAAAATATCAACTTTACGATATACTGTAATGTCAAATTATGATTATATCTAACTATTATATAATTTTATTATACGATAATTAGCAAGTATTTCTTGACACAAATTTTTTCCAAGAATCACATGTATAGAGTAATAACTATAATATTAAATTTAATTTGTTAATTATTTGTGCATATTATTATGTAATACATTGTAATTGTACAAGATTATTATATTTAATAATTAATTATTAATACCATTATTTTTTTCATTTGTTCTTAGAAATATATGATCGTATATGGTATAACGTAAAAATGATTAAACCACCAACAAAACATAAACCAGAAATTGCAGGTATTAATAAAGCCAGATGCTGGGGATAAAAGAAAGATTGTAATCTATCATCATCAATAAAAGGCAAACCGATTATCCACAGAGTATAATACAAAAAAATAATCGAAGTAAATATTAATATTTGTTTTCCCTTATCATGATCACTAACGGACATTGTAAACTTAGTTTGTTACTTATTCCATCTTGATTGACTTAAATTTAATCAAAAAAATAATATCCTTCATGTGTAATAATTTTACAATGCATGAAAGTCTTATCAATTTAAATATTCATATATAAGTGCATGAAAGCTAAAATTTACAAAATTATCACTTGACAAGAATATTTTACAAATATTCACCTACTATCTATACTATTCTATTTTTCTAACTTATAAATAAAGCTTATCAAAATTAACTTACACACAATTGCAATATAGTTTACTAGAAACTATAGAGATATAAGCATAATTATAATTCTGAGATCTTTTTATCTTTCTTATTATTCTTCTTTTGTAAAATTATATCTATGTATTTTTGAATGCTGTAAAAGAAAATGCAAAAAATTAATTACAAATTTTTACACCCAAACATTAGTAATTAAAGAAAATTTTATTATCTACCGTTATCGATTGACATCAACTTAAATTTTAACCTTCGTGTATACATATCATGACATAATAATTGATATTTCATATGTCATTCGATATACGTATATTTTTCTTGTACATACGTATGACCTTGATCAAAAAATACAAAATAAATTCTAGAATGAATTGTCAATTAATAATTTATTTAATGCACACTATTTCATTTTCTCGTTGTTTATGACGTGTAATACTTCGTGTGTAATATATACTGTGCGTATTATGTAACTTGAGACATGTGCGTGACATTTTTGTAAACTTTGTGACGTAGATCTTTAATCTATATATATTTGTTATTATTATTAATCAGTAATAAATTAGTAAAAAATAACTAAAACATGTCCAATTCGCTTGTTCATAAGAGTCTTGAACTCTTCGAATACGATGATTTGAAAAAAGGTAAAATTCTATGATATTTATAGGTTATATAAAGCACGTGAAATTAAATGTGATTGTTTATTTATAGAAAAAAAGAAGAAGAAACATAATAGTTATAAAGGAACTTTAGAATTAATTCCTGCTAAGCATAGAATTATTTCTTTCAAGGAAAAGACAAGTATATATTTATTATTTTTATTAACTTATATTTTGCATATTATAATAGAAGAATGTTTAATTAAATATTAAATGTGTTTTTGTAGATATCAATATTTTGGGTCGATCCAATAAGGTTACTGTATATGAAGCTAAAAAAAGATTGGAGTCGAAGAAGAATTTAATGGAAGAAAATATACAGAATCTTTTATTATTGAGTAGTAATTGTTTGGATCAACATACAGTTGACAAGGTATGGAATATAAGAAGCATTGAAATTGTATAGAAGTGTGTTTAGATATATTACTATTTTATACGCTTTAGGTTTTAAAACGAGCTGTTAAGAAACAATATATTCCAAAAGAGAAAAAGAAGCCAAAACAAGAAAGTACTGCATTTTCGGAGGAAGATTTTAAGAAATTTGAACAAGAATATGTAGACGAATAAGGTAGAATAATATCTTTTGTATATTAATATGTAAAGAAAAATTAATAATTGTTCACGTTATTTGTTGTAAATAATTTACAACAAAGGAAAGAAAGCTGAAATTATAATAAATTTAAGATTACCTATACGTGATTTCTATTTTATATTGTGGAACGATAAATTTTCATTTTAGAAAGTGTAAAAGATTAAATAACATTTTTTTTTCATTTAGGTTATCGTGAATTTGTAGTTTCACGACATAATAATATTTATTTAGATGAAAATTGTGATAGATATTACAGTTTCTCTTATTATTTATTGAAAATAATCTTAATTCATCGTTCGAGTTGTCAGTAATATTTCTTTAATATGAATTGTTGGTAATATGTTAAAATTATCTTACGAATTATCGATAATATATTTGAATTATCTTACGAGTTGTCGATAATTTATTTGAACTGACTTTAATTTGTTTTAAGATTTTCATAAGTTTTCTCTATCATTATTCGAAAGTTTTGGAATAGATAAATATTCTTATTTATTTAAAATTAAGATACGAGTCCTTTGTAATTGAAAATGAATCAGTATTCATCTGGCGCAAGAGATATTAGAAAAATTAGTAGTTTATATATATTCTAGAACTATGAGATGTATAGGTTGTCTAAGCTCATGTTCCAGAAGATTTTTTTGGGGATAAATGTTGGGATAGATTTAAGACTCAAAGAATCATTGATTGTCAGTGTATTGATATTAAATGTGTGATAAATTTTTTTTAAACTAAACTTAAAAAAGAATGTAAAAAAGCAACACTATGAGATATAAAACGAACGTCATTTAAGAGAAATATTAAGGAAGAATGTTGTGTAAAATTGATATCTAAATATTGGCAAACAGTTTATAACTTTGTGATTTAAGCGAGTATTTAATTTATGCATTAATGTATAATATCATAATAAAAAAATAGCCCAAAAATTCCCAAAATCTTAGAGAAATGTGAAATTTTTGCCACCTATGTAAATATTTGAAATAAAGTATTTATAAAACATTTTTAATCATTAATTTTAAATAAATTATTAGTATTATATAATAAAATATCAATACGTAATATTATATGTGATCAGTGTTAAACAGATTAATATAAAAACAATGTTTAGTAATTTAAATAATATTTATAATAAACCTAGACGATTAATTATTTATACTGATCATTTATATTTTATACTGATATTTTATAATTAGTATATATATACTGATTATAAAATATGTCAGTATTTATATGACAAAAATATATAAGTAACGCTGTAGTATATTCTCATAATGTGAATATAAAACAATGAAATAATTTTTAATCGAATCGATAATATGTATCGAGCCTTAATTCTTTTTCATACGATAAACTTAAAAAATGTTTATCGGACTATATTTAATATTGTAAAATCGGTTACGTCTTAATGTATCAAGATTATTGATCTTGGAATTTGTCAAAATATATGACTGGCTTGCTTGATCCATAAATAATATATTTTTATAGTATGGACTATAAATTTCATTGCCGTATGAACCTGTTAATCAGTTGTTAATATGTTGATTATTTCATGAACGACGCATAGTAGAAATTGTTTTAGTAAATATAATTTTAATGATTATTTAGTATATATAAATATGCAAAAAAAAAGAAACAAATAAGTATCTGACCTACATAATCGAGGAAGATCATCAATGAAAAAAAAATGTTTACATAAATTATAGTTTACTAAGAGCTGATGTAAATTTTTTTTTGCAATATCAACAAATAACTTGTATATGTACTTATATCACATTTTGCCTTTAATTTTTCCTTCCTCCTGAAAGAATAGTTAATGTTCTACTATTCTATATTTTATACTCAGTTATTTTATATAAGAGAAAAGAATTAACTTTTTATTGCTTCTGTGAATCATATCTTTGCGTGCACTTCAGATCTAACAAGAAAAAATTTGCTGAGACATGGGTTGATTGCACGAGCAAAGTTCATATATTTCATATTCAATAGTTTTAATATTTTTAATGTTTTAAAATCCTTCTTGTAATTATACCTATCCCATTGAGGGAAAAAAAATTATAAATAAAAAATAAAACATTAAAAATATTTAATCTTTATTATTATTGACATTCTATAGATTCACCTAATTTACAATCCGGATTGGTTTGCAAATTTATTTGATTTTTCAATTAAAAAAATGTGAAAAAATTATAATAAATTTACTTAAATATATATACATTTTGTACAAATTAACAAATTTTCAAAATTTATCGTATAATATAGCTAGGGTACAACGAATCACATAATGATGAATATTTATTCTTTTCCAACTAAAGATTTAAATATTACCGTTAAAATGATTGAATGTTTAATGATTGATTTTTTTCATTAAACATAGACAATCGTAATCCGTGCAATTACTAACCGTTTAGGGGGAGAGTTAAAAGTTGCATATCTAATTGCATTCCATAAAATTATACGACTAAATATATATAAGATCGATTTTACTTTTGTTTTATGAAGTTTATTATATTTGATACTTTATGGAAAAAAAAGTAAATTATATTAATTCTTTATAAATAATTATAATAAAATTAATGAATTTTACCTTAATATTGCAGATTCACCATTTCCAATTATTGAATATAGTCGGGAACCGAGAATCTTCTGATCATATTGTGAGTACTCAAATGAAAAATAATAAATAGTACGATACTGATAATGAGTATGAAGTAACAAGGGGAGTAAGAATATAAAATATATTAAAGTTACGCTTTATACTCTTTATCCTTCTTTTTGTATTTTCTAATTCTTAATAAAGCAAATTTTTATAATATTGTAATGTAATTTTTTTAAAAAATATTCTATATCACATAGAACAATACAAGTAATAATTATAATAGCATTTACTGTTATTATGGAAATTATGATCAATTTTATTTGAAAAAAAAAAAAAAAAAAAAAAAAAAAAAAAAAAAAAAAAAAAAAAAAAAAAAAAAAAAAAAATTCTTATATTTTATTTCATAATAAACAAATATTTTATGATTATAATAATAATTAAGAGATTTACGTATGTCATGTTGGCATTGTACAACGAGTTCTATAGAGAACTATTTTGTATTTTAACAGGAAATGAATAAAGAAGTTATCAATTAAAATTATAAAAATATGTGGTGTATTCAAATTTTAATATCTCACAGTAATAATAACAACATAACAATAATAATAATGACATAACAATAATAATAAGGCTGTTATTACATAACAAATACATGTGTATATTGATACTTTACATAAATTAAATTTTTCTATTGATAAGATTATATTTATTATTTTTGTCTTATTTTTACCTAAGACCTTTAAGTATTATTGCGAATATTTGATTTAACTGTTTAATTATTTAAAATATTAAACTTTAATCATATTCCATAACTCTTTTCATAAAGATCAAACAGAAATGAAACATACTAAATAATTAACGGATAATTATTTTATTATATATATAATAGAATTTTTTATCTTGTTTGAGTTATATTAATTATAGAATTATAGTTATATCATATTCATAGACTATCACATATGAGTAAAGCTGTGATACCATTCAATTATATGAAGTTTGAATTTCATTTTATTAATTACAAGAAGAATTTTTAAAATGAATATTGCAATATCAATAATTATTTTTATTACAAATATAAAAAATAAATAGTATTTATCTGAAATATCCTGTTTTTAATATATACTTGTTATAATTAAATCCAAAAAATGTCTCTAAGTATTGCGAGCCTTATTGACATTCGAAAAATTGATTTGGAATAAATATTTGTTATTTCTTAGAAAATCAAAACAATTCAAATTAATTTTTTATTTATTTATTCTTTTTTTCTAATCAAATATCTTTGTTTTCTTTCCAATTTTTACAAAAATTAAATTGATGTTATGTTAAATACATAGAAAAAACATAATAATAATAATTTTTTACTTAACTTCATTGAATATAACAAAAATTTAATATAATTTTTTTTTCACAGTAAATTATCTTTGTAGTTATACTTTTATAACTTAAATTCAAAATAAAATGGGACAATGAAACAATAGTACTTTTTTTCTTAACTTATTAGAATATAACAAAAATGTAATATGATTTTTTTTCTTTAAAGTAACGACCAATTTTTTTTTCCATCGTTTCTAATTAAATGTATAATTATGTTATAATTAATAATATTTTTTTGTTTACTTAGGTTAGAAATACATTTAATATTACTAGCACTCCTATCATTCCAAAACTATTTTTTAGTTTTTTTATTATAACACAAAGAAATTTTCTGATCAAATAATTAATACATTCGAATTACTCATTACCAATTCATTCATATATATTTGATGTATATAATATATATCATAAAAAAATATATATATATATCGTTCTGAAACATACATTCTCGTTATGAATTTGTAACATCAGAAATTTTAATTTATACAGTAATCAGATCTATCTTAATCTTTTTACATACAAATTGATTTTATTTTCAACGGAAATAAAAGAAATTGTTTTATATTTTTACAAATATTATATTTACAAAAATTATCAATAAAAATCATGGGAGAGCGAATAAAAACAAAATAATTACACTACCTCTATTTATTTGTTATTTTTTCTTATATATCATTTTTTTCTAATCTTCAATTTTTTTTCTTACTATATATTTCTTTTCTACTTCTTCTAGTGATGGTAGAAAGTATGAGTTTCTTTATCTTATAAAATCTAATATGGAGCTAATTTATTGTCATCTGTTAAGTTTTTCAAAAACATATATTAACACTTTGCCGTCCGCACGTCTCGTAAAAATTTATTCGCTTGGCGCCGGCAGCGCTAATTCGGATTATTTAGCTTGTCGCCGGCCGTTTTTGACATTATCGGGAGATTATAAATTATTAAGTTTTACTAATCTCATCGTTAGTTCTCATAAATTCTCAACCCTGTTCCCCTACTTTCATGAAATTTCGAAGATATACATACTTAAATAAATACAAAATTTGTTTGTTATATATATTTGTTTATTTGCATTTTCTTTGGTACTTAGTATTTTTCTTTCGTATGGTATGCAGCAAAACAGTCTCCAAGATGTAACGCAACTCCACAAGACTTGCACATTAAGTTTGTTATTCTTCTTTTTTTATTTTTGGAACATACGTGGCAGTTTCTTCGTTTTCGTTTATTCGTTTCGGAAATAAGTACTAGTTGGTGTTGCTTTATGTGACCAGAAAGTCTGTCAACCGGATCATAATGAGACTTACGCGATGTAATAGCAACCTCCAAGTTTTGCTCAGAAGCAGGTACATGGTATTTTATCCACGAATCAGACACTTTCAATAAAAAGTCGTGAAATCGGAGACTTTTGTGTTCTGTATTAAAATATTGATATGTATGAAATGCATTAAATAATGCGCAATTAAAGAGGTACATGCAAACCTTTTTTGACCATTTTATAGTTTTTCTGTATATAGGGTAATAATTCAAATATTGGTCTGCCCGATCCCCTTTTTTCATATATTTGTTGTAGTCTAAAACACTTTCAGGTTTTTTTATTGTGTAATTGGTTTTTCTACATTTTGTTTGAGTGTTAGTTAAAGTGGCATTATGTATTGTAGAGATCATTCGTATCATTTTAGTTTGCGAAGCTCTCCATACCAGTGCGAGTACTTCACCTTTCCGTTGATGACAAGCTTCAAATACATTGACATTTACGCGCTTTAATTTTTCCGGAAATCCTCTATTTTGTCGTATCGTTCCACAAACTCGGATTTTCTTTTCAAGTAAATTCCCTGCAAGTTCTACACTATTATAATAATTATCCATGTAGAGGTGATGCCACTTTCCATAAGAAGGTGCTAATAATTCTATCATTGTTTTAGCTAAAGGCTGTCCAACGTCGGAGTATATCTTGAATGAGGAAATATATCCCGTAATCGAATCACACAGCATCCGAATGAGTATGCCATATTTCGTAATTTTCGACGGATTGTAAACTTTAAAATTTAACCGTCCACGCCACGGTATTATTCCTTCATCAATTGAGATGTTTTGACTTAAATTAAAATTTTCTTTAAACTTTTTGGAAAAATAATCAATTACGAATTGCACTTTGAAAAGCCGATTGGCATTATCCGGTTTATTGTTGTTGTCGGAAAAATGTAAAAATGATAATATTTGTCTGAATCGGTTGCGGGACATCGTTTTGTGAAATATCGGTGTGTCTATCAACGGATTCGTTGACCAATAATCATCGATCCTTGATTTTTTTATAATACCCATAAGTATAGCAAGCCCAAACCATTTTCTAAGTTCGGATGCCGTAACGTCCACAAATTTGGCATTTTTTTTATTCAGTTTCCTTCTATTGCAATTTTGACTGTAGTACTTGTTGGTTTCATTGCTAATATATTCAAATAGATCGTTCCCAATATATAATTCTACGATATCCTCGACGCTCTGTGTATCTTTGGGAAATATGTTTGGACCCGGAGATCCTTCAAATTTATTATTGGTCCTCGGTAAATCAAAGTCTGACCACTGTGCACTGTCTTCTTCGTCTGATTCATCTGAATCAGTTGGCAATTGTAGCGTTTGCCGAATTCTTCTTGTAGGTATTTCTCTATCTTCCGACGATTCTGCTTCACTTTCATTTTTTTGATATCCATTGTCTTCTTCCCAATCGTCCGGAACATCAGACAAGACGTCCGCGCATTCATCGTAAATAATCGTATCGTTTCTTTCGTCTGCCATGATGAAAGGGTATAAGTATTTATAAAAACAAAAAACTTGTTGACGTATGTAACTTATTGTTACCTAAACAAAACACCAATAGAATGAAAAAGATACTAAAGTGTTAGCCGCTATTTTGCGCACGACACCACAGTGGTGTCACCGGCTGTTGACTGTTATTTTGCGCACGACACCACTGTGGTATCGCCGGACGACACAGTGTTAAAACGAGAAATACATCATACACAAATTCGTAAATCGTCTAACTGATCTAACCTCAATTCATCTGTTTTGTAGCAGAGCATTGAAGGTGCCAGGAAGAATAAACATACAGTTACCAGAAGGTATACCAATGCATATTGACCAATCACATAACGATTCGCTGACCAATGAATGCGCTCAGCGAATATCGATGACGTAGCCAATCATCGAAGCATCTTCACTGGCCATCTTTACAATACCGTCATTTCTTGAATCTTCTATCGATGATTAATTTTTATACTTTTTTATTTAATTCATTTTTATACATGTTTTTAATTCTTTTTATTTATTTATTTTTTAATTATTTGTAATTTATATGATATAATTATTTTCATAGATAATATGAACAACAACCGTTAAATATTCTACTTAAAAATAATTGTTAAAATTTATCACAAATTACATCTTATGGTAGTTGGTTACTTGGAACGTTTATTTTTCTCCACATTTTACCAATTTTATTAATCTTTATGTTTGAAAACAATATTTTATTTTTAATACAAATAATTGATCTTGTTTCTAAGGATGCGATACAATTTAATGAAAACTAGTCTCAGTTCTGTTTATTTTTTGACGAAGTATAAAGAAGCTTCCTAATATCTCTCAGAAAATAAGGAATTTTTAATTCAATCATTTGTTATATAGATATTATATTTTTTCAGATCTTAACATAATCTCAGTTTGTCTACTTTCAATTGGTTCAATTTGTATTGGCTTATTTGTTTTAATAATTAATCTTCTCATAATTATTGTAAATTATTGACTTTATTTCAAACATAGCAAGTTTATAATCTAGAGAATTGAAATCAATTATAAATGTATGTATAAACTTTTGGAATCGCTCGTGAATAATATTTAGTTCTACTAAATTAAATTTAAGTAATTTAATTCAATATTTTTTCATTACAATGAAATTTATAAAACAGAAGAATAGTATTAAATTTATTTTTGGTATTGTCAGATTATCTTTTGTTTGATAATTCATAAAAAAATATTAACTTTAAATAAATACTGTTTTTAATTATAAAAATATTATTAAAGAATATAATTAATTATAAAAAGTTATAATTTTATATGCAGAGATATTTTGCATATTTTTCGTTACTTTTTGTATATTGGATTATTGGAATTGCAGGAGGCGCATATAATGCTATAAGATGAAATAGGAAAATTACTTAGCCACTTAACACTTTGTCGACCGCTAGCCTATTAATCGGCTTTTCGATGGCCAACGCTTATCGACCGATAGCCTATTAATCGGCTTTTAGTTATCAACGGGTTTCGTCCAGTGGGATTTACTGTTTTATTAGTAGCTGTATATTAACCTCTCCATATTCTTATGAATTATAATATTTTTATTTTTATCATTTACAATGGATAAAGATCGTCCAGATGAAGAGTTTTGCTTGGATACTTTGTCAGACCATAGTTGTTATTCAGAAAGTGACAATGATAGTGATAGCAGTGATTCTTCTATAAACATTCGGATGCTGCGCAAATTATTGTCACTGCGATCTAGCGATTCAGAAAGTGATAATGATGACATCACTGAAGTAAATATCGATACATGGTCAACAAATGACAAATCAATTATTTTGGAACCTTTCGAAGGTAGTCCAGGTATAAAAATTCTACCAAAATATGAAGAAAGTGTAATGGATATTGTAAAGTTATTTATTGGAGATGACTTTTTGGAATATTTGGTTAAAGAATCGAATAGATATCACTATCAAATAATCAATAAATATAAAAATATCTCAAGGACGAAGAAATGGATGGATATTACGTTGTCAGAAATGAAAAAATTTTTAGGTCTAATTGTTCTAATGGGACAAGTAAAAAAAGACAGACTTCACGATTACTGGTCAACTGATCCAAGCATCGAAACTCCATTTTTTTCGAAAGTAATGAGCAGAACTAGATTTATGCAGATACTCCAGAGCTGGCATTTTTGTAACAATGAAGATATACCCACAAATTCAAACAGACTTATGAAAGTTCAGACAGTTATAAATTATTTAAAGAATAGATTTATTGATGTATATAAACCTTGCCAACAATTATCATTAAATGAATATATTATTCCGTGGCGGGGAAGACTGTCATTCAGAATCAACAATCCCGCGAAAATTGTAAAGTACGGTATACTTGTGAGAGCAGTCTGCGAAGCTCACACAGGATACGTTTGTAATTTTGAAGTGTATGCATGCCAAGGAATGAAACTGGAAAACACTATTCTAGAAGTTATTGATCCTTATAAAAATATTTGGCATCACATTTATCAGGACAATTATTACAACAGTGTCGATATGGCTGAAGTTCTCTTACAAAATAAAGTACGGGTATGTGGAATTATTCGGAAAAATAGTGGTCTTCCTCAATGTCTCCAAAAAATAACCTTTTCAAATGGTCAAGCTACATTTCGTAGAAAACACGATATTCTGTTACAAATATGGAATAACGGTAAACGAAATGTAAACGTGATATCGACGATACATTCGGCGCGAATAATGGAATCTAGAAGTGTAAATAGAAGATCAGTTCAACAGCCTGAGTCGATAATTGATTACAACAAGTATATGAAGGGGGTAGATCGCGCAGATCAATATCTGTCTTACTATTCTATTTTTAGAAAAACGAAGAAGTGGACCAAACGAGTAGTACTGTTTTTAATTAATTGTGCGCTTTTTAATGCATTTAAAACATACATAATATTGAATGGAAAGAAGTTAACATATAAGAAATTCTTACACAAGGCGGCAATTGCGTGGATATCCGATTTATCATTAACAGATTCTGAAAGTGACGAAACAGCAGATTCAACTAATAAATCAAATATTTCAGAGCCTACGAGAAGAGCACCAAGATCAGATCCTCCAGAAAGATTATCATGCATAAAGAAGCATAAACTTATAAGAATAGTGACAAGTGGTAAAAGCAAAATACCTCAAAAACAATGTAGAGTATGTGCATCGAAAAAGATAAGAAGTAGAACATGTTTCGTATGTAAATTTTGTAATATTCCATTACATAAGGGTGACTGTTACGAGCGATATCACACTCTAAAAAATTATTAAAAATTGAATTACTATTATCTTGAATATATTCTATGTATATTAGTTTATAAGGCCTTTTATTATATAAAATAAATGCAAAATAAAGTATAAATATCAATGAAATTACATTCCTTTGAAACAAAAGCAATAAGCATAACACAATGAATAGCGAAAATTTAGCCAGTACTGGGAGCAAATGCGAGCGTGATTAAGCCAGTTTTTACTTGAGTGGCAGCCTCAACTATGACCAGTCGATAAAGTATTAAGAGTGAACTAAGTAAACTTATATAGCCATGTTTATACAGAATTGCAATTTTTTCAAGATAAACTTAAAAAAAAAATTCTTACAATATAATTAAACAGGTACATATATAAACAAGAGGGAATCAGTTGTAAGTGATATTCTCTAACCACCACCTATGACCACCTACTGATTAGATTTCTTTCTTTATATATAATGATATGTTATTCTAGTGTTTACCTAACATATTCAGTCCTGTTTATGGTTTTTCATAGCTCTGATCGCTAGGAGTATCTGTGAGTTTCTCCTTTTTTTATTTTAATATTATCTCTTTACCAGTTACGTGCTCGATATCGATATCACAGCTCCACTCTATGGCTTCATTGCACATTAGTTTCCTCATTAGCCTGATATAGGACATGTTGATCCCCACTGTCAGTAAGATTATTTTATTGTAGGGAATCCAGCTGCTTAATGCACCGACGATGAAGCTTTTCAGTTTTATCTTGAAAGCTTGCTGCTGGAAATTGTTAGTTACCATTTCATATTCTTTTTTATTCAATTAACGAGCTGTCTCTAATGCGGCGTAGCGGTTCTCAAATGGGGATGTAATGTCGATCTTCTGTAATCTCTCGCTGAATGAAAACGAGATCATATTATCTTTTGCAAATCTTAATGACGTTTAATTAATTTTTATCATTGTTTTTATTGTTTGTTTAAAAGTATTAAAGGCCTTTATTATTCAATTTAGAACGGCATTGTACTGTTTTATGACAGCGACTAGATTAGATTTGTAATGGTGAGATCACGTGTAACAGTATTTCTCATTAATCACATTACATTTCCGGCATTTCTTGTTATTATTTTCAAGCGTCAAGTCTCATTTCAGCAGCAGACAGTCAAGATAGATGCGGTGAATGAAACACCGGTCTGCAAATCAGCAAAAGCTCCCATTTCGAACAAAGTGATTCAGTAGAGTTGCTGCTAACATGACCTCGTATATCTTTCTCTGGTCCGATTTAGCAAGTAGTTGATTACGATAATATCTGTGGATCGTGTTTTGGAGAGAAGCCTGGATTGAGGAGTTTGTTGTTGAGGCTTTGATGACGTTGACTAGTGGACATTCATCCTACAAGATAATTTTTTAGTCACATTACTTAGGCGGGTCTATTTGTTAATGATTTCTATGGACTCGTTCGAAAGTTCCACCTTCATGCTACCATGCAACATCTGTTACACTTATATTATAATTTAACTTTCATATTATAATTACACTTTTGAGGAGTATGATAATCAAAAGTGGGCTTAGACTGCTGGATAGCCGTGAGAGCTATGAGATAATCTGTTAGGACGTTGATTGATAGCACATTTATTCCTCATTTAGTGATTGAGACATATTTTCGCTTTTGCCGAAGATTGAGCCATATTTTACCGGTTGCTTTGATCTGCTTGTCCAGTATCATTAATGACTTCCTTCAGACTATTCCATTCTTCAGGTGGAATGAGATGCATGATAGAATAAATGTACAAATCACATCACATGGTATGTGGTTTTTTTGCTCACATGGTACAAATAATCGACTTGGTTTATATTGTTGTTCATTATATCTAGTTCTTATATCGCCGATTACGTTATGTGAAACTCAATAGATGCTCTGAAACGGCTATATGGCTAATAGCTGCTTTATTAATAATTTCGATGATTTTTGAATATTAAAGGTTATTAGGAGAGCTATGTAGTTGCGTTTATTAATGTGAAGTAAATTTCCGTATATTGAATAAAAGACCTACTTTGTGTTGAATACAAGTTGGCTACTTCTTCCGTGCGGTCGAAGAACTACTGAAGTCTTTCATCCGTAGATTCACGTGGTCTGTCACGTACCTGTAACGCATTTGGGTAGGTTATAGATCACAGTACGGGCTTCATGGATAGATTAAATATAAATTCTAAGTGGGTAGTCTTATGTTATTCATTACGGCATTAATTTTAATGATCTGTCTGATTCTACTATTGCTTCTTACCGGTTTAAAGGCGTTGTATTGTGATAATTCTCGAGTCATTTAGTCCTGTCCAGTTTAACATATTTTCAGTTCAAAATATTGTCTGATGTGACATTGACTCAAAGGCATTAGACAAATCCAGTAATGTTATCGCGCATTTTTTCCTCTCCTGATGTACATTTGCGATCACCAACTGGAGCATAATGTTGTGTTCAATGCATCCATCGTCATCCATGAAACCATTTTCTGATGCAATTTACTTGAAGGCTTATTTATTCATTGATCACTATCCATGATCGATATTCAAATATCGATTATATTCGAAAATTCGATTATATTCGATTCTTTCGAAATTGTTTTTATACATAGTTTCTTTATCACAATAAATATCATGAGAGAACGAAGAAGGAGAAAACAGATACACCATATCTATTTATCTCTATTATTTTATCATATTTTTTTCTCACCTTCAATTTCTTCTTTTCTTGTATGATGCCATTTCTCTTCTATCTTTGCTAATAATTGCAGTAGCAATAAGTAGCATGTGTTTCCTTATCTCAAGGAATTTAACATGGCGGAGTTAATTTATTGTCACCTGTCAAGTTTTTCGAAAACACCTGCTAAAACAAAAAGGAATATACATTATGTACAAATTCGCATGTCATCGAATTGATCTAACGTTTTTCTTAATCTATTCTTTCTTGAAGAGGAGCACTAATGGTATCAGGAAGAGTAGATATGACCAAATGGTGCACAATGATTTGCCGATCAATCATACAATGATTTGTCGACCAATCACACAACGATTTGCCGACCAATCACATAACGATTTATCGACCAATGAGTGTGCCCAGTAGAGCCTATCAACACAAATTGATCAATCACGTGTCGGTAAAGTGTTTTTACTGGCCATCTTTATAATACCGCCTTTTTTAAAATCTTCTATCGATCAATATTTATACTTTTTTATTTAATTAATTCATTTTTATGTACATTTCTAGTTCTTTTTATTCACTTATTTTTATATTTTTAGTTACAAGACAAAGTCTACCGTATTAAAAATTATTACTACCGTCTACGAAATTAAAACTAGAGTCGGAATCTGTATTTCTATTTTTTATCATAATCATATATGTATGTTATCTATTTTTGTTCTTTTTTCTTTCTTCTACACTGATTACACGATATGAAGAAATAATTATATTTTATAACGCGAAATAGCTGACAAATTAAGATCGATCAAGAGATTTCAATGGAAGACATAAGTTTGATGATCACAAAATCTATTTTCTTCATCCTTTTTATTAATGTTTAAAATCTGGATTTCATTATATATAATAATTCTTAATCTCTCCAATTTTCTACTTTGATAATTTAGAAAACTTCTTGAAATTTTGTTTCCAAAACGTTGGTCAGGAATTTCTTGGAAAAATTCTTTTATAATGTGCGATTGTTATTATTATTTTATATTTTGAGTTCTAACACACACAATTACATGATTAAAATTAGGCGGTAAATGATTAAAAATTGCGTAAAAAAATTACACACAATTGCCTAAATTATCATTTGTGTATTAACTGCATATAAAAAAATTTTTACTATTTTTCTAAATTGTTTTGGTTTTTCGAAAAATAAGTAATCCTTATAATTTTCTTTATACTAAAATAATATTAGGAGGTCTGTCTATGTTTTTATATGATTTAGGATGGGGCTGAATCCGGTGATACTGCAATACCGGCTCAACCCTCGGCAGAGGCAGAGCAAGCTCCGGCCTTCCGCCAAATTTCAAAAATCTAGCTAATATTCTGGCTGCTCCATGAGCAGCGTATCAGATATTAAGCTGATAAGAACAGATACTACACTTTGATCTTAGCCATAGGCCGAGAAGCGATAAAGCCAAATGGTTAGAATCGTTCAAATAAGCATTTCTATATCGAAAAATGGATTCGAGTATAGAACGACACGTTGTGGTCGTCGCTTGAATTATTTGTTTCTTCAAAAGACGCTCGTATGCCGATGGTAGTACGATCGATCAATAATACGGTTGACAATACGATTGCTAAAACGATGAGAATAATAATTAATGGAGAATAATAATTAAATAGTAATTAATAAAATATTTAAATAGAATGTATTTATTCGATAACCTGTTACGATAATTTTGCTATCATATTTCACAATGAAAAGATTAAAGAAAATTTTAGTATATATATATATATATATATATATATATATATATATATAAATTACTTCATTCATATATCTGTTTTGCAATTTTATACAATTTTATTACAACTCGTAGATTTTTTATTTAAGAAGTATAATATACAAGATAATTGTAAACATGTTCATTGTCCCATTGTTAATATATTCGTATCCTTTTACAATAAGTATATTGAAAATCATATAAAATACAATTAAATTTGAAGGTTTTGTTGTTAATAAATTTTATTTTATTAACAATAATTTTAAGTAACATCAATTTTTCTTTATGTTAACTTAATCACAAAAGCTCTTGCTCGTACTTCGTTCAAATTAGAACACTTACGTTTTTGTTTATGATCACGCTTCTAAAAAAACTTGATATAAAATTATATAATTACTAATAAAGGAATATATAAAATTTTCAATTTAATAGACTAGTGAAGTAATTTCTATCAAGTTAATGGTCATATCATGTTATTACACCAGTTCTCATCCGAATACCTATCATCCGAATACCATAGGTATAAAATAAATTTTTTAGAAATTTTTTCTACACTCAAATACAACTATTATTATATATTAATATAAACCAGTACAACATTCAGTGAATATTGAGCGAAAATCAAAGACTGAATGGCATGTAAAAAAAAAAAATAAATATTTTTTTATATAAGGCCAAAAAACTAGATCAATTAGGCAGGAATTACATTGAAATACAAAACTGTTATTTTAGTATAATTATTTGTAGTACTTGTTTACACAGATTTTTGTATTTTAGTATGTTGACAAATAAAGGCTATTTATTTATAAAAAAAAAAAAAAAAAAAAAAAAGAAAAAAAAAATAAGTTCTCGTTCGGTCACTGAAGTTAAGCAATGTAGGGCACGGTTAGTACCTGGATGAGTAATCGCTTAGAAACATCATGTACCGTTAGAATTTTTTTTGTCTTTTGTAATTCTTATCTGTAACTATTGTTTTTGTTCTTATAGATTTCAATTCTTTTCTTTTTTTTTTTTTTTTATAAAAATGGTTTTTTTTTCTAGCTATTACAATTATCGAATTACATGTTATAAAATATTATAAAGTTTACTTTTCTTTATTTTTATTTGTAAATCTTACTAGCTAAAGAACACTCTTAGACCAACTTAATTGCTGAATGATATCTTCGTTAGAACTGATATATTTGAAGATTTTACTCTGACATCAAACTATTGGCTTATCAATGTATCATAGTGACAAAAGAAGAAGGAACAAAAGAGTGACAAAGATATGACAACGGAAGAAAAAAAAAGAAAAATGAAATTTAGATAAACATAGTAAATGAATAAATGAGCATTAAATAAATAAGACATAATAAATAAATATATAAGCAATAGGTGAATAAATATATTATTAGAATAGATAGATAAATAAATAAATATGTACACATTAATGGATGAATAAACACATTATTTGCTACTTTTTATATTTGACAACTTTTCAGCATCGTCATTTATGGTTTATTCCGATTAGTCAACAATTTTCATCCAATAGGAGATCTTTGTGTGATGATTACCGCTCTCTCTTCTGATTACCGCTTCAATAGAGCGACCGTTAGCCCGTCACCATGAAGGACATTAGAAATAAGTAATTTATTGTCTATTATTGAATTAGAAATGGTATTTATATTTCCTTCACACATATATATATATATACAGGATGTCTCGTTTATCTCGAAAAATTGGAATATCTCGTGAGGAATTGGATTTATCAAAGAATTTTTTTTACGAATTTATTTCGTATGATAAGATACATTGTATGGTGACATTTTTTGCAAGACGAATGGTAGAGAAATTTTCAAAAACAAATTCATTTTTTTTTTAAATGAAACTGTATATTTCTGCTTTATTAGTAAGTTGTAGTTCGATAATATTTGTTCAGATGAATTCGATTAGCCATATGAGGTCATTTATTATTATAAAATTTTATAATTGAAATTATAAATTTGTGAGTTTTTAAGGAATATATAAATTTATATCGCTGGTTACCGGCTGTATTTAATTTTTGTATTTAAAAAATAAATATTTAATATTATATAGATATATTTATTTTAAATAAAAGATATTACATTGGACAATATTTTGTTTATAATGTACACTAAAAAAATTTTGTATGGAATAATGTATTAAGAAGTGCATATTAAATAAATAAATATTTTTATTTGTCGTATAATATCTTTTCAGCTACTTAAACATATCTTTATAGAGGTTATTAATGCATTGCACATATTTATTTATTTCAGTGTACAAATATAATATATATATATATATATATATATATATATATATATATATATAATATTGCTATAGATAGGTTTTTACGAGACAATGGAAGAAAATTTTTCATCCTGATAATTTCTTATTGTTCAGCGATGAACTTAGAAATTACGTAGGTAATTAAATATTTTAATAAGTCATTTTGAAATTGCCATTAAAAGTTATAGTTATCTACAACAAAATATGTTTATAATTGATTTCATTCATTTAAGTCACAAATTTGTTATGTTAGAAATAAAGGAATACTTGTTAGTATGTTAAGAAGTTTTATTATTAAAATAGATCGGCCAGTAACAATTGAAGAAATTTATATAAAATTTTTGAAATAGAAAGTAACAGTAAAAATATTTTTAATTCGAAATTTAAATATTTTTTTACTCGACATTAAAATTTCAAACCGCAATTTATCAAAATTATTCGCTCAATAATCATGAAAATCTATACGAATTAACATTTTGAGTTCCAACTTAAATTACATATTTATATAAAAATTTTCTTTTTTTTGTAGATTGTAAGAATTTAAGTGGCAAGTTAAATGTCAAATATAATCGAGACCTATCTAGAGATTATCTATTTAATAAAAATAATAATTGCTCCGATTTTATTTTACTGAACAAGAGAAAGATGTAGATAATGTTGAATTTATAATTATAAATTCAATATGTAATGAATTGGTAATTGTTATTAAATAAATATTTTAAATATTTTATGTATATCATTGTATTACATATGATACAATTTTAAATTACTTAACAATAAATTCACATTTGATTTGATTTTTATTATAAATGCTTAAGAAAATAATTTCGTAGAAAAATTTGATTTATAAAAAGGTGAATTTGATATGCAAAAAGTTGGATTTGTAGTGTAAAATCTCTATTGGTAGAAGAGATCGGAGTTGAGGGGAGAAGCAATAAGAAATAATTTCGATGAGAGTTGTATTGATAACTAGTTCCGTAGTACAAAATGATATATTATAAACAAATAAAAATATATTTTGGATAATAATTACAATGTTTAGTATACAGGAAAAACGAGATGAAAATTGATTGAGCTTTTTGAGTGGGACAGAACTTTTACAATTTTTTTTAGAATTATATTTTTTTATTCATTATTTAATAAATTCGATAATAAAAGTGATACTTTTAAGACTAAAAATGAATTAGATTTTATGATTGTAATTGACTGTAACCAAAATTGATCAATAATTAAAAAATTAGAAGATTTTAAAATAGATCGAGTTAATCAACTATTTATAATGGACTGATTGGTAAGAACAAAATATTGAGATTTTCTTTGACTCCTTATAGTCAAAATAGGATTGTTTAGTTACAAGAACATCGATTCTTTGTTTCGGTGGATTACCCAATCGTGTAGTGCAGATGGTGATGAGAATCTTCCTTGGAAGAGGCTTTCATGCCTGCCTTATCTGGATCAACTGGACTTCTATTCGAAGGAGTAGTTCAGCTCTAATTTGAATTGATTTGCTAATGGTAATGTTAGTAATTAATGCAAATAATTATTTATATTTGATTAATTGAAAGATCTAGCTACGCTCATCTTGTATTCGATCTCTATTGGGTCGCGATTATTGTGCAATTAATTAAAATTGATCTTTCTCAAACTAGGAAAAGAAGAAGTGCCGTATATAGGTTTATATAGGTTTATATAGGTTTATATAGGTTTTGCATGAAAATTCTCGAATTTTTCAATATTTCAAAGTTTCTTGATTTTCAGTGACGTATATTTCTACTTGAACATCAGGATATTAATGACAAGCTTAGTCCACGCCAATTGCATTTTTTTAGAAACTGTGCCGAAACGAAAAAAGTTAAGCCGATTGTTCTTATATTTTATTATATGTTCTAGCAAAAATTGAGATCAGAAATGTTATCCAGATTTAGATGAAAAATGATATAGATATTTTAATAAGTTAACTTTTAAATAATTACTTTTTTTTTAAGTATATGCGCATTGCGCATTGTTGCAGAACTTATTTTCACAAGTATATGACATTTGATAGATCGTATTATCGACGAACTTAAGTTCTTTTTACTAATTGTTATAGCAATCTCTTTGCTTATTCTTAAGCAAATGTCCTAGACCGTGGTTGGAGAAAGACTGGCAAAAGTTGCGGTCAATAGAACCTTCTGCGCATGTTCAGAAAAATTAGCAGTAGAAGGTATATTTCCCCTCATCTAATTGTTGAGAATAACCATCTGTTTTTATACATGTAGACAACTTAGTCACATTAGAAAGTGTTGGATATTACAAAAATAAAGGAATGAAACATTTTTACATTACGTTTTATTGATTAAATTATTATGTTTATATTTTTACGTTACTCTTTTACATAACGCGATATTTGCTATACCTAATAGATGGCAGTTAGAATTTATAATAATATAATAGTGGAGAGTACATTGATTACTTCGTTGCTGAAAATGTGTTATTTCACAATGACTACGAGAGGTGTAAACTTCTTTGAACAGCACTTCCTCCTTTCTAATCGACTTGTTCAATTAGTATTAGGTTTACGTCCTTATCAAAATTGGAACGGCCAATTGATTACACTTTGTATAATAACTATTTTTCTATTTCCTGGAATTTTCTATCAGGTAAGTGTTTTTCTTAAATGTATAAACGATTAATACTTTTATTATTATCGTTATTATATTTAATTTAATAAATAAATCGTTATTATATTTAATTTAATAAATAAATCGTTATTATATTTAATTTAATAAATAATTAAATATGTTTACTGAAATCATTTGGAATAAACATTTATCATGTATATTTAAAAAATTATTAATGTATTATTATATGTGATTCGTAAGTATTCTTTGATTGCAGTTGTATCAGCTTTTTAAATCAAACTTAACATTGCAAATGATAAAAGAGCTGCAGAAAATAATACCGTCTATTATAATGTTCATAGCTTATAGCATCTCTTGCTTTAGTTTCAAAACAGTTTGTATTATTTTCTTTTTGAATTTGCTTTGATTTTATTCGACGAAGATACATTTAGAAATGGAAAGAGAATATATTATTTTCTAGATTCAGTTAATTATCACTCATTTTAAATTGGATTGTGAGGAGTTGTTCGATGAGGAGGAATTAAATATTATGAAAGAATATACGAGAGAAACAAAATTATATGCGTATAGTGTCATAGGTAAGCATGAAAATATTTATGCGAACAGTTCTAAACATGATATCGCAATGGTACGTCTCCATGTATTTTGTTACAGTTTTTTTCAATCTTTATGGTATATTAATAATATTTTCATCCATTTTTAATGTTTTTCTCTATCTTTTTGATATATTGGAAGATAATCAATTAACGTTAATCAACCCCGTAAATAACGTTTCAAACGCAAGTGCGCTTTTTTTTAGTTTGCTTATTTATCAAATAATAAGCAGTTTTATCTTCCTAATAATAGGAAGTGTGTTTTATTCAACATATTTGGTATTTATACAACACGCATGCTGTCAATTTAGCATTATAATGTACGTTTTTAATTAAAAAAAGGATATGTTTTATAACTCAAGTACTATCACGCATCTGAGCGCCATGTTACAAATCTATTTATTATAGTTTGAAAATACGGCAACCATTTAAAAAGAATCAAAAATGTACGGAAAATATTTGGAATAAATCACCTCAGGAAGAATGGGATTGGATAGTCGACATTATAAAGCGCTATAGAAAGGTGTCGGAGTTAGTACGAAATAATTTTTTCGATTCTCGCATATGCAGGTAATATAGATCTATAGATTAATATAATTCATAATTTATATTTTTTTCAAGGTATATCGACTTGATAAATCGTGTTTCAAAGATAAATTATTTAATTGCAATTTTCTTTGCGATGATTCTCATAGCTTTTGATTTCATTTTTGTAAGTAATACCATTTATCATTAATTAAAATTATGATAAAAAGTCCGATTATTCAGTTTTTTTATAATTAAAAAAGAAATATTATATACTTTATATTTGTTTGAGGAAAAATGTTAATATTACTATTTGCTTACTACAATAACATATTGTTTGTACGCGTATAATACATTTATTGTGTTCAATGTATATTTATAAACTTGGCACCATTGAAAAATATTTATCTATCACATGACTTATTTTCAGTTGTTTCAATTATATAGGGAATCACTAAATGTGATCGAAATATTGGAAAGCAGCTTTTACATTATTGCTTCTGTATTTACTACATATATTAATTTTTACATTGGACAAAAGTTATTGAATTATAATGATGCAGCTTTTGACGAATTGTAAGATGTTACGAAGTTTCGTCACGTTAACAATCAATATACAAAATTTTATGAACTTATAAAGCAAAAATAAGTTTTATTAATAAAACGAATAATAATGAAAGATTATTCTTATTTCTGAAATTATTCATCATATATCAGAAATTAATTATTTCATATGAAAATCAAAATATATCTTTTTGCAGGTGTAATATTCCATTTTATATGCTTTCAATAAATACTCAAAAATTGCTGTTATTTATGATAGTCAGAAGCGGGAAACCGTGCATGCTTTCAATTGGAGATATGTTCGTGTCGTCACATGAAGTTTTCATTGGGGTAAGTAACAATAAATTATTTATGTTTAATACATTATGTTAATGACAAATTTGATCACTTAGTTAATGCGGAAAGCATTTTCTTTCGCTATGGTATACTATAATGTATGATTACAAGTTTTCTGTCACCGTAACCAAGCTATATATATATATAATATTTAATAAGATTTAGATAAAATAAAATGTATTCATTTGTATTAAATAATAAAGAGTACGTGATGATTAAAATACGCATTATGTATGTTTGATATTATTGTTTGTGATTAAAAGATTTGTCTTGTATATTAGTTTTTATAAACGTAATATTCTCTATAAGAACTTTTTAATAATTACTTTTTACGTAAATATACGCACACTGTGTAGCGTTGCGGAGCTGTTTTTGCCAAGTATACAACATTTGATAGATCGTATTATCGACGAACTTAAGTTCTCTAATTGTTATAGCGATCTCTTTGCTCATTCTTAAGCAAATGTTCTAGACCGTGGCCGGAAAACGACTGACAAAGTTTGCAGATGAATAGACTCTTCTGCGCATGTCCAGGAAAATTAACAGTAGAAGGTATATCTCCCCTTGTCTAATTGTTGAGAACAACCACCTGCTTTTATACATGTAGATAATTTAATCGCTTTAGAAAGTGTTAGATATTACAAAAATATAAAGGGGTGAAAAATATGAAAGGGTTACATAGCGTCTACCGATTAAATTATTATAATTATATTTTCATGTAATCTAATAGATAGGAATTAGAATTTTTAATGAAGTAATGATGGAGAGTGTTTCGATTATTTCGCTGAGACAAATGTAAGTTATTTCACAATGTCTACTAGAGGTGCGTGCTTCTTTGAACAGCACTTCCTCTTTTCCAATCGATTAGTACAATTTGTATTGGGTCTACGTCCTAATCAAAATTCTAACGATCAGCTTTTTCAGCTTTGTACAGTAATCGCTTACGTATTACCAATTATTATTCATCAGGTAAACATTTGTTTCCTTAATATGTATATTATTATTACTTTTATTATTATTACTATTTGCATTATTATATTTACCTTAATTTTTCTTATTAATTAATAATTACTTTATGTTGATATACTACAAAATAAACATCTACAATATTATATATATTTATAAATTTTTAACGTGATATAACTTTTGTTTCGTAAAAGTGTTCTTCTGGTGTTGTTATATTAGATCTTCATGACTGATTTCAAACTTAAAACGACTATGGAGTTGCGGAAAATAGTAGGAGCTTTAGCTATGCTTTCTAATTACAGCGTCACTTATTTTCACTTCGTAGAAGTCCGTATTATTTTTGTCAGATTAATTTTATTTTTATTAATCATTTATTAATCGAAACATAATAAGAGAATTATTATTATTTTTAGGTGAAGTTACTTTTAATTAATTTTAAACGTGATTGCGCACAGTTGTCTGATGAGGATGAATTGAATATTATGGAAAAGTATACCAAACAATCCAAATCTTATGTGTATATTGTAGTAGGTAATAACGAAAATATTTATGCAAACAATCTTAAACAATATGTTCCAATTATTTATGTTATCACATTGTTGCAGTATCGCTTAGCCTTTATGTTATATCAATAACATTTTCTTGTATCTTAAATGTTATTCTATATCTATTTGGTAAATTGGACGATAATCATTTAACATTACCCATACCCGTTAATGTCTCAAATGCAGGGTCACTATATTATTGTCTGCTCATTTATCAAACAATAGCATTTTATATTGTGCTAATAGTAGGAAGTGTATGTTTTGGAGTATATTTGGTAGCTGTACAATACGCTTGTTGCCAATTCAATATTATAATGTATGTGTTCAGTTAAAGAAAGTATATTTGTTTTTAACTCAAATGTTATTATTTGTCTAAGTGAATTTTAATGATTTTTTTTTATTAAAGATCGAAAGTACGGAAACCGTTTAAGAAGCATATGAAATATATGCAAAAGTCTTATCATATCAAAACATCTCAAGAGGAATGGAATTGGATAGTCGAAATTATAAACTGCTATAGAACAGTGACGGAGTTAGTTTTGAAATAATTTCTTCATTTCTATAATACTCTGTTTGTGTATATGTGAGCATGTGACTGTGTGTGTATATATATAATATATATATAATATATATAATATATATATATAATATAATATAATTCACATGTTTTATATTTTGTTAAGGTACGTTGACACGCTTAATTCTCTTACAAAGGTAACTTCCTTAATTACAATTTTTTTTGCGGTGATCCTCGTTGTCTTTGATTTTGTTTATGTAAGTAATAAGTTTTTCATAAATCGGAAATTATAATAAAAAATTAAAATATTAAATCTTTTATATTTAAATAAAAAACATTATATTTTTTATATTTTTTATCGAAAATTTCAATACTATATATTGGTGAAACCAATAAAAACGTACAAAGATTATACTATCATTTGGTTTAATGTATGTTTATAATCATTGGAGATCATTGAAAAATATTTATATATTACATGATTTACTTTTAGATATTTCAAGTATCTATAGAATTGAAAAACGCAAGCGAAATAATCGAATACAGCTTCTACATTTCTGGCTCTGTATTTACTATATATATTAATTTTTACGTTGGGCAAAAGCTACTGAATCATAGCGAAGCTGTTTTCGAGGAATTGTAAGATATTACAAAGTTTCATTATAATTCCCGTAATTATTATCGAAGATTTGACATATTTATAAATCTAAAATTAATTTTATTAATCAAATAATTAATTACAAATGTAATTTAACGATATAATTATTAACATTTTTAAAAATATCTTTGTTCGTAGATGTCAAGTTCCATTCTATATTCTCTCTACAAAAACTCAAAAGATGTTGTTATTCGTGATAAAAAGAAGCATGAAGCCATCCATGCTTTTAATTGGTGGATTGTATATATCGGCACATCAAGTTTTTGCTCAAGTAAATAGCAATTAATTATCGATGTTTAATACAATATTTTAACAACGAGTTTAATATTATATTTCAGCTGATGGAAAAAGCATTTTCTTTTGCAATGGTATATTATAGTGTTCAGTAATACTAAATATAAATGATATATCATAATGTTCAGTAACAGCATAAAAAGCTATACACATTAATATCATATATGTAAAAAAAGATTTAATACATTCTAGAAAAAGTAAAATGTTTCTATTCCAATAAATGAATCAAAACGTGCATTATGTAAATCTCGTATAATTTCTTGATACTAATAGATTTACTTTGTGCATAAGATTTATAAACATATTATTCTTCGAGAATAACTTTTTAATAATTATTTTTTCAAATACACGTGCACTGCGTAGCGTTGTGGAGCTGTTTTTGATAAGTATACAACATTTGACAGATCGAACCTAAGTATACTTTACAGATCGAACTTAAGTACATTTTATTAATTGTTATATTAATATGTTTGCTCATTCTTAAGTAAGTGTCCTAGACTGTAGTTGGAGAAAGACTAACAAAGGTTGCGATCAATAGATCAAATTCAAAATATGATTTAACGGGTAACTTATGAATTATTTGTCATAATAAATTCTAAATATTCTTTTTGCAGGTATAAAATTCCGTTATACATTTTTTCCATAAAATTTCAACAATTGATGATATTTTTAATAACGAGAAGCAAGAAGCCATGTATCGTTTCAATCGGAAGAAAGTTCGTATCATCGCATAAAGTTTTTGCTGAGGTAGATAAAAACAAATTATCGATTTTGTTAAAGCATCGCGTTAATAATGAATTTATTATTTCAATTAATGCAAAAAGCATTTTTTTTTACAATGACGTATTATAGTATTCGTTAATATCAAATCATCTTGGAAATATGAAAATGTAAGATCTGTTATCGAATGAAGATGTTTTGATACTTACGATTTTTATTAAAAATTCATAGAAAAACAAACATATTCATTTGTATTAAATAGTATGATAATAATTATAAACAAAATGTGCATTAGGTATCTTTCGTACTATTGTTTGATGTTAATCTATTTATAAACTATCCTTAATCTTAAATCATGAAATATTTTTCTGATTTACTTTTAAATAGTTATTTTTCTCATCACATTCATTTATTATCGTCTTTTTACGAATATATATCACTTGATATAGATCTTCATTACGATCTGTTCGATTATTTTTATATATTAAAAATATATATATATATATATATATATATATATAAAAGATTGAATTAGTTTTAAGTAAATTAAAGTGTATTCATTTAAATAAAGTAATCAGATGCTGGTGATTATTAAAACGTTTAATACATATGTTTCTTAAGGCTTTGATTTTTTAATGGTTTATGTCATCAATGAGAACAGACATAATTCTTGGCCGATTTTGACGAACAAAATTTCATTTTAAAGAAGAAGATTTAATATACGTCGCTTTTTCGGAAGATTTTTGAAAAAGCTTTATTTTCTTTGAAAAAAATCATGTTAAAAAATGGTATTTTTCAAGAATAGCTTATGCACAAATAAAAATCTTTTTTAGAAGTCCGCCAAAAGAACGTCATAGATTAAAGCTTCGTCTTTAAAATGATATCTTTTATCCAATTATTTATATCAAGGGATCTGAGTTTCTATAATATTGTTAAATTTTGAAAAAATTTGTAGTTTCTTTTAGGTTTTATTGACTAATAAGATAAAGACTACAATGTGCAGCTCATTGGAAAAATGACTGGATTCGTAATTCAGGAATTGTAGGCTAGAAGCTAAGTAAATTTCGCTGGTTTTTTTTTTATTGTATCGATGTAAACGAAAATAATGAACAAATTTATTCTTTCTTCCTTTTTTGATAATTTAGTAAGGTGTTATTATCCAATTTCTTATATTTATTTTTTTTCAATCATGGCTGACATGAATTTCATTAGGACACAGCAGCAGTATAATTTTGTTCGATGACAATGCATATAAAGTATATACATTTGTCAATTATTTTTTACAAATTAATAATTATTGAACATACATATATTTTATTTTGAATAAACATTAAAATACGAGTTCGTTTCCACATTATCTACGAGATTTTTCTCCTAACGCTATTTTGTTATAATTTCTTCTGAAGAAGTTCACTTCATATTATTACTATTACTACTACTATTACTATAATAATATGCCATGTAATAATATAGTAATAAAAAATAGTAATAAGAAGAAGGAACAGAAGAATATATTTATGTACACATATAATTTCTGATAACAAAAGAAGGAAAAATATATCATTTTGCTTGATAATATCAACACATGACCGTCCATTTAATACAAACGACATATGAAGAGAAGTACAAAACGTTTCTTTTGTTTTCGTTCGCTATTGTTTCTCTTTGTCTTATTACCTTATGATCGTAATACATTTATTTTTATACTGTTTCTTACTCATGATCAGTCGAAGCAAATTGTCTTTATAATATAAAATATGTTAAATAATATCTAAATGTATATAAATAATATTTAAATACACTTTTATTATTATTATCATTATTATATTATATTACATTACATTAATTATTATTATTATCAATAATAGTAATAACATCATGTTATTATTAGTAGTAGTAATAATCGAAGTCGTATAGAGCGGAGTAGTTCTACAAGGGCAATCACGTAAAAAAAAAAAGCGCTAGTTCTACTTCATAGGTAGTGTGGAAATGAACTCATATTTTAATTTGTATTAAAATAATATAGTATATAAGTATTCACTAATTTTATTTTTAATTTTTAAGAAAATATTGAACAAATTCTTATTTTTGTTGTAGATTTATATACTAATTCTTATATGTATCAATTATATTTATTATTCTTTATGCATTTGTCGTAAAATAAATGCATATCAATGTTGTATCTAGCACGGAATACTACGAGATGCACGCTACCATCAAAGAAAGATACACTTATGAGAGAGTGAAAAGACTGAGTTCACAATTTACTAACCATACTTACTATACTCACACGAAACCAATTGTTATGTACGTGTGAGAAGGTAATAATCAAATAAGCTTATTCACCGATACGATAGACAGATGATGGGGGATAACATTACGGGCTTGAATTCGTAGTTCATATTTTATCTATACCTGTTGTTGAAGTTACATACGCTTTGAATAAAAGATGGTGAACAACTTTAATATTGTTGGACATTAGTAGAATTATTTTGCATAATAGTTTTATAAATGTAATATATTCCTTAGAAAACTTTTATATAATCACTATTTACTTGCAGATGCACTGGGAACTATTGCAGAACATGTTTACGCAATTCACAGAACATTTCACAGATTGTATTATCGATAAACTTAAGTTCTCTTTACTAATTGTTATAGCGATCTCTCTGCTCGTTCTTAAGCAAGTATTCTAGAGCGTAGTCGAAGAGCAACTGAAAAAGTTCTTGGTCAATAGATCTTTCTGCGCATGTTCAGAAAAATTAACAGTAGAAGATATATATCCCCTCGTTTAATTGTGGGAATAACCACCTGTTTCTATACATATAAGTATCTTAGTGGTATTACTTACTTGTGTAATAAGTAGTATAACTGTGTATAAATGCTATAATTTATTCAGCACTATGAAAAAGAGGCGAAACATCTTTATATTGTGTTCTATCGATTAAATTATTATGGTTATGCTTTCATGCCACCTTTTTACATAACGTGCTACAGCTGTATCTAATAGAAGGCAATTAGAATTTTTAATGAAATAATAATGGGGAGTGTATTGATTACTTCTCTGCGGATAACATAAGTTAGTTCACTATGCTTCGAGAAGTGGGAGCTTCTTTAAACAACACTTCTTCCGTTCAAATCGATTAGTTTTATTGGGACTGCGTTCTAATCAATATTATTTACCACCAGATTTTTCTACTTCGTTTAATAATTGCTTACGTATTATCAATAATTGTCTATCAGGTAAACTTTTCTTTCCTAAATATGTATATTATTATTAGTTTTATTATTATTATTATTATTAGAATTATTATATATTGTATTTATTTCGAGAAAGTTCATTTCGATTCAGATACACTATAATGTTTCGAGGAGATCTGATCAATTTCGAACAGCACTTCTTGTTTTCGAATCGGCTAGTTGCATTAGTTATAGGTCTACATCCTAATCGTAATTTAAATAATCAATTGTTTCTAGTTTGCTTGGTAACTATTTACCTATTCCCAATAATTGTGCATCAGGTAAACAATTTTTTCTATTTTTATGCATGATTATTACTTATAATATTATTGGTTATTTCGATATTATAATTTTATTAATTATATCTTTTAAAATAATATATTCGCAAAGAGATATCTTGTGTCGAATTACAATAAAATGTTTATATTATCTATTTTTATCAACAATCATTAATATAGATATATTTATATGTGATTTATAAAAATGTTCGTTGACTTCAGTTATGTCATCTGACTATGTTAAAATTGAACTTGCAATCATCTGTGAAATTGCTGCATAAATTATTCGTTACTCTTCTTCTGGTTCTTACTTACACTACTACTTACTTTTCATTTATAACAGTTTGTATCATTTATTTTTGCATTAGCTCTATTTTTACAAATATTAATTATATTAAGCAAAAATTCATTACTTGCAGATGAAAAAAATTTTTGCACGCATTAAATGTGATTATCTGCAGTTTGCTGATGAAAAGTTATTGAACATTATAGAAAAGTATACGATACAATCTCAATTGCATACTTTTATTATTGTTTGTAAGGAAGAAAATGTAATTAAAAATAACTATTATATTTTAATTTTTATTTTTTTTCGTATTATTATAGCTTTTTTCAGTCTCTATTTTATTTCAATGACGTTTCCAAGTATTTAAGTGTTCTTCTCTATATCTTTGGTGCGTTGGACGATAATCAATTACTGTTACCTTTTACCGAAAATGATGGTTTATTCGTAGGAGCTTTATATTACAATTTGCTTATTTATCAACTAATAGGAGCATTTATCCTATTTACGATAGGTAGTTCGTGTTATTCAATATATTTGGTATGTGTCCAACACGCGTGCTGTCAATTAAGCCTGATAATGTTGGTATAATTCAATTTGAGAAATATATTTATTTTTATTTCAAATATTATCACTTATTGCGTATTCATTTCAGTTTTAAAATACGTGAACAATTTAAAATGCATCAGAAACATACGAAAACAAATCGTAATAGCAAAACACATCTGGATGAATTTGATTGGATGATCGACATTATAAAGCATTATAAAAATGTTACGGAGTAAGTCTAAGACTATATTTTTTATTTCTTTTGTATACATTGTTTACTAGAATCAATTTTTTTTAAAGATTCGTTCAGTTGATGAACTGTTTTTCCGAGATAACTTATTTGATTGCAGTTTTTTTTGCAACAATCCTTATTGTCTTCGATTTTCTTTACGTAAGTAATAATTTATGAATAAATCGAAAATTCTTATAAAAGATCCGAGTTCTGTAAATTTTATAATTTCATAGAATTGTATTCAACTTTTTAATGTTAATACATCCTATATTATTTATGAGCTTCTATAATTGTTTTTCTCTTTTATGAATTCAAAGTAATCGTCTATTTACTTTAATATATATTTAAACATGTATACGTTTTAGAATGATTTTCTTTCATTAAATCATATAATCATTTTAGATATATCAATTGTCGGAAATATTGCATAGTCTAATGGAAACAATTGGATGCAGTATTAACATTTTTGTATCTATATTGATCTTATACCTTAACTTTTACATTGGTCAAAACTTATTGAATCATAGTGAAGAAGTTTTTGATGAATTGTAAGATTTTGCAAAATATATTCGTACCAGCAATTAATATACAAAATTTGACGAATCTGTAAAGCTAATATAAATTTTAATAACGAAATGATTAATAATAATAACCCAAATTGTAAATTTAATTTAACAGATGGGTCGTTAATTATTTTATATAAGAAATAAAATATATCGTTTTCGCAGATGTAAAATTCCGTTTTACAATCTTTCTATGGAATCTCAAAAATTGCTGTTATTTATGATTATGAGAAGTATGAAGCCATGCATGCTTTCAATCGGAAAAATGTGCGTATCATCGAATAAAATTTTTGCTGGGGTACGTAGCTTCATATTATCGGTTTTTAATGCATCACGTTAATAACGAATGTATTATTTTAGTTAATCCAAAAAGCACTTTCTTTTGCGATGGTTTATTATAATGTTAATTAACTAAAATTTATCTTACAACTACAATAATTTGAGATGCACTATCGAATAGCAAGATTTTTATAAATTATTGCTATTTAATTTTATAGTTATTATTTAGTTTTCATAAAAAATCGGACATACTCACATGTATTAATTAATAAAATAATAATTATAGTCAACATGTGGATTATGTATTTCACGTATTGTTGTTTGATATTAGTTTATTTATAAATTGTCTTTATCCTTTAAATTAAGATATTTCCTTTTGATTCACTTTTAAATAATCTCATCATATTCATTTATTATCGTCGATGACTATTTCTTACAAATAGAAAACATTTGACCAGTTGCGTTATCGATAATATCAATTAAATCGGACTAATTGTAATTGTAAATCTGTTTGATCATTCTTAATATATATAAATATTTAATTATTATATATATTTAATTATTATGTATATTAATTATTAATATACTTAATATATTTAATTATTATATATATATTTTATTATATATATTATTAAATATTTAATTATTATAAATATATAATAATTAATTATTATATATATTTAATTAGTTATTGAAACGTATTTTTGAATATAATATAGAATTTTACTTGAATAATGTAATTAGATGGTCGTAATGGTTAAAATATGGTTAAATGTCTTTTATTATTATTTAATACCTGCAGAATTATTTTGCACATTGATTTTATAAATGTAATATGCTCCTTAGAAAACTTTTAAATAAATATTTTTTTACCTGTAGATGCACTGGCAACCATTGCTGAACATGTTTACGCAATTCACAGAACATTTCACAGATTGTATTATCGATAAACTTAAGTTCTCTTTACTAATTGTTATAGCGATCTCTCTGCTCGTTCTTAAGCAAGTATTCTAGAGCGTAGTCGAAGAGCAACTGAAAAAGTTCTTAGTCAATAGATCTTTCTGCGCATGTTCAGAAAAATTAACAGTAGAAGATATATATCCCCTCGTTTAATTGTGGGAATAACCACCTGTTTCTATACATATAAGTATCTTAGTGGTATTACTTACTTATGTAATAAGTAGTATAACTGTGTATAAATGCTATAATTTATTCAGCACTATGAAAAAGAGGCGAAACATCTTTATATTGTGTTCTATCGATTAAATTATTATGGTTATGCTTTCATGCCACCTTTTTACATAACGTGCTACAGCTGTATCTAATAGAAGGCAATTAGAATTTTTAATGAAATAATAATGGGGAGTGTATTGATTACTTCTCTGCGGATAACATAAGTTAGTTCACTATGCTTCGAGAAGTGGGAGCTTCTTTAAACAACACTTCTTCGTTCAAATCGATTAGTTTTATTGGGACTGCGTTCTAATCAATATTATTTACCACCAGATTTTTCTACTTCGTTTAATAATTGCTTACGTATTATCAATAATTATCTATCAGGTAAACTTTTCTTTCCTAAATATGTATATTATTATTAGTTTTATTATTATTATTATTAGAATTATTATATATTGTATTTATTTCGAGAAAGTTCATTTCGATTCAGATACACTATAATGTTTCGAGGAGATCTGACCAATTTCGAACAGCACTTCTTGTTTTCGAATCGGCTAGTTGCATTAGTTATAGGTCTACATCCTAATCGTAATTTAAATAATCAATTGTTTCTAGTTTGCTTGGTAACTATTTACCTATTCCCAATAATTGTGCATCAGGTAAACAATTTTTTCTATTTTTATGCATGATTATACTTATAATATTATTGGTTATTTCGATTATAATTTTATTAATTATATCTCTTAAAATAATATATTCGCAAAGAGATATCTTGTGTCGCATTACAATAAAATGTTTATATTATCTATTTTTATCAACAATCATTAATATAGATATATTTATATGTGATTTATAAAAATGTTCGTTGACTTCAGTTATGTCATCTGACTATGTTAAAATTGAACTTGCAATCATCTGTGAAATTGCTGCATAAATTATTCGTTACTCTTCTTCTGGTTCTTACTTACACTACTACTTACTTTTCATTTATAACAGTTTGTATCATTTATTTTTGCATTAGCTCTATTTTTACAAATATTAATTATATTAAGCAAAAATTCATTACTTGCAGATGAAAAAAATTTTTGCACGCATTAAATGTGATTATCTGCAGTTTGCTGATGAAAAGTTATTGAACATTATAGAAAAGTATACGATACAATCTCAATTGCATACTTTTATTATTGTTTGTAAGGAAGAAAATGTAATTAAAAATAACTATTATATTTTAATTTTTATTGTTTTTCGTATTATTATAGCTTTTTTCAGTCTCTATTTTATTTCAATGACGTTTCCAAGTATTTTAAGTGTTCTTCTCTATATCTTTGGTGCGTTGGACGATAATCAATTACTGTTACCTTTTACCGAAAATGATGGTTTATTCGTAGGAGCTTTATATTACAATTTGCTTATTTATCAACTAATAGGAGCCATTATCCTATTGATGATAGGTAGTTCGTGTTATTCAATATATTTGGTATGTGTCCAACACGCGTGCTGCCAATTAAGCCTGATAATGTTGGTATAATTCAATTTGAAAAATATATTTATTTTTATTTCAAATATTATCACTTATTACGTATTCATTTCAGTTTTAAAATACGTGAACAATTTAAAATGAATCAGAAACATACGAAAACAAATCGTAATAGCAAAACACATCTGGATGAATTTGATTGGATGATCGACATTATAAAGCATTATAAAAATGTTACGGAGTAAGTCTAAGACTATATTTTTTATTTCTTTTGTATACATTGTTTACTAGAATCAATTTTTTTTAAAGATTTGTTCAGTTGATGAACTGTTTTTCCGAGATAACTTATTTGATTGCAGTTTTTTTTGCAACAATCCTTATTGTCTTCGATTTTCTTTACGTAAGTAATAATTTATGAATAAATCGAAAATTCTTATAAAAGATCCGAGTTCTGTAAGTTTTATAATTTCATAGAATTGTATTCAACTTTTTAATGTTAATACATCCTATATTATTTATGAGCTTCTATAATTGTTTTTTTTTTTATGAATTCAAAATAATCGTCTATTTACTTTAATATATATTTAAACATGTATACGTTTTAGAATGATTTTCTTTCATTAAATCATATAATCATTTTAGATGTATCAATTGTCGGAAATATTGCATAGTCTAATGGAAACATTTGGATGCAGTATTAACATTTTTGTATCTATATTGATTTTATACCTTAACTTTTACATTGGTCAAAACTTATTGAATCATAGTGAAGAAGTTTTTGATGAATTGTAAGATTTTACAAAATATATTCGTACCAGCAATTAATATACAAAATTTGACGAATCTGTAAAGCTAATATAAATTTTAATAACGAAATGATTAATAATAATAAGCCAAATTGAAAATTTAATTTAATAGATGGGTCGTTAATTATTTGGTATAAGAAATAATATATATCGTTTTCGCAGATGTAAAATTCCGTTTTACAATCTTTCTATGGAATCTCAAAAATTGCTGTTATTTATGATTATGAGAAGTATGAAGCCATGCATGCTTTCAATCGGAAAAATGTGCGTATCATCGAATAAAATTTTTGCTGGGGTACGTAGCTTCATATTATTGGTTTTTAATGCATCACGTTAATAACGAATGTATTATTTTAGTTAATCCAAAAAGCACTTTCTTTTGCGATGGTTTATTATAATGTTAATTAATTAAAATTTATCTTACAACTACAATAATTTGAGATCCACTATCGAATAGCAAGATTTTTATAAATTATTGCTATTTAATTTTATAGTTATTATTTAGTTTTCATAAAAAATCGGACATACTCACATGTATTAATTAATAAAATAATAATTATAGTCAAAATGTGGATTATGTATTTCACGTATTGTTGTTTGATATTAGTTTATTTATAAATTGTCTTTATCCTTTAAATTAAGATATTTTGATTCACTTTTGATTCACTTTTAAATAATCTCATCATATTCATTTATTATCGTCGATGATTATTTCTTATAAATAGACAACATTTGACCAGTTGCGTTATCGATAATATCAATTAAATAGGACTAATTGTAATTGTAAATCTGTTTGATCATTCTTAATATATATAAATATTTAATTATTATATATATTTAATTATTATGTATATTAATTATTAATATATTTAATATATTTAATTATTATATATATATTTTTTATTATTTATATTATTAAATATTTAATTATTATAAATATATAATAATTAATTATTATATATATTTAATTAGTTATTGAAACGTATTTTTGAATATAATATAGAATTTTACTTGAATAATGTAATTAGATGGTCGTAATGGTTAAAATATGGTTAAATGTCTTTTATTATTACTTAACACCAGCAGAATTATTTTGCACATTGATTTTATAAATGTAATATGCTCCCTAGAAAACTTTTAAATAAATATTTTTTACCTGTAGATGCATTGGAACTGTTGCAGACCTTGTTTTCGCAATTATAGAACATTTCACAAATTGTATTATCCATAAACTTAAGTTCTCTTTACTAACTGTTATAGTGATGTCTTGTTTCATTCTTAAGCAAGTGTTTTAGAGCGTGGTCGAAGAGCGACTGAAGAAGTTCTTGGTCAATATAACTTTCTGCGCATGTCCGTGAAAATTTAAAGGTATATTTCTCCTCGTTCAATTATTGCGAATAATCATTTGTTTCTATAAATGTTTCTATTATCTGTTTCTATAGAAGTGTTTATATGTATTGGTATTTGAACGTATTTAACACTACAGTAGTATACAAGGATGAAACATTCTCATATTGTATTCTATCGATTAAATTATTACACTTATATTTTCATGTCACCCTTTTACATAACATGCTAAAACTGTATCTAATAGATGGCAATTAGAATTTTTAATGAAATAGTAGTGGGAAGTGTATTGATTATTTCACTGTAGATAACATAAGTTAGTTCACTAACTTAGTTCACTAGTTATGGCTTCGAGAAGTAAGAGATTTGTTGAACAGCACTTCCTTTTGTCGAATCGACTAGTTCAATTTATATTAGGACTGCGTTCTAATCAAAATTCAAAAAACCAGTTGTTTGTGGTTTGTACAATCACTGTGTACATATTGCCAATAATTGTCTATGAGGTAAACATTTATTTTCTAAATATGTAAATTATTAGTATTTTTATTATTATTGCTGTTATAATTATTTATTTGCTGTTATATTTTATTTTTATTTTTTATTTATGTATGCTGTTATAAGTTATGTTTATTTTCATACAAATTTGAATAAATATTTTATATTGGTATTCAATGCAATAAACTTGTATCATCTATTCTTATAAATTTTTTTTATTAAATCTGTCCTTGTTAATTATAACGTACACATTAACATTCGTTTAGTAAAAATCTTACTTTTCTGCAGCTGTATCAACTATTAACGATGGATTTCAATTTGACAACGACTGTCATAGAGCTTCGAAAGATAGTAGCATTTCTTATTATGATTTCTGCCTATAGTACCACTTACTTTCAGTTCGTAACTGTTCGTATTAGCTTTATTATATTAGCTTCTTTTTTACTAGTCGAAATCGTATGTATTTAAATAAAAAATATTTATAATTTTTAGGTAAGATTACTTTTATTTCGTATTAGACTGGATTGTGAGCACATATCTGATGAGATGGAACTGTTCATTGTGGAAAAATATACGAAGAAAACTAAGACGTATGCATATGCTGTCATAGGTAAGTACAAAAAAACTTAAAAAAAAAAAAACAACTTTAAACAAGGTATTGCAATACTTTACATATTTTTACAGTATTGTTTAGCATCTATTTTATTTCAATAACATCTTCATGCATCTTGAATGTTCTTCTATACCTCTTTGGTACATTGGACAATAATCAATTAACATTACCCTTTCCCATTAATAATTTTTCAAACTCTGGGCCTTTATATTATTTTCTGCTTATTTACCAAACTGGTGCATTTTATATTGTGCTGATAATAGGCTGTGTGGTTTTTATATCATATTTGGTAGTAATACAGCACGCATGTTGTCTATTTAGTATTATAATGTACGTGCTAAGTTAACGAATGTTATACGCTTTTAATCTAATTGTTATGAATTATTTAAACGTAATTTTGTATGTTATTTATTGCAGATTGAAAATACAGCAACAATTTACAAATGATTCAAAATATTTACAAAGAAGTTCGTTTAGTCAAAGACCTTGCCAAGAGTTTCATTGGATAGTAGACCTTATAAAACGTTATAGACATGTCACGGAGTTAGTTCGAAATAAACTTCTATCATTCTCTCTTATTATATTAAATTCTAAATCACATTTTTTTGTTCCTAAGGTATGTGGATTTGATAAACTATTTTTCCAATGTAATTTACTTAATTGTAGTTTTTCTTGGGATGACCATCGTTGTAATTGATCTCCTTTGTGTAAGTATTACGTATATTATCAATTGAAAATCGTAATAAAAAGAAGAATCTTTAATGGTTTCTATATGAATAAAGTAAATTTAATTCAATAGTTTTTATTATATATTTCGGTATTATTTATTATCCACTCAAACAAATCGTCGTTAATATGTATGTTTATTATTTAAAAATTATTGTTAAATATTTATTTTTTATATGGTTTACTTTTAGATATTTCAAATATCTATAGTATTACAAAATGCCTCAAAAATAATCGAGTTCACTATCTACGTTATGGGTTCTATATTTACCACATATATTAATTTTTATATTGGCCAAGAGATATTGAATTACAGCAATGCAGTTTTTGAGGAATTGTAAGATGTTACAATGTTTCTTCTTAACACCATTAATTAATATATAATATTTGACAAATCTGTTAGCTAAAATTAATTTTATGGATGAAATGTTTAAAGTTCACAAAATGTAATTTATCGGATGAGCTATTAATTATTTTGGTTGAGAAACAATATATCTTTTTTGCAGGTGTCAAATTCCTTTCTACTTATTGCCTATAAAAACTCAAAAAATATTGTTATTTATGATAGCAAGAAGTATGAAGCCATGCATGCTTTCAATCGGTGGATTATTCGTTTCATCGCATGAAGTTTTTTCTCAGGTATGTAGTAATAAGTTGTTGATGATGATATCTTTTTTAACGGCGACTTTTATTTTTCAGTTAATACAAAAAGCAGTTTCTTTTGCTATGATGTATTATAATGTTCAATAACTCCAAGTCAGAATTGATAAATGATAATTAATTGTTATTATTATACGTAGTAAAATTAATTAGTATCAGATAAAATTAAATGTATTTATTTCTATTAAATAATATCCCTGGAAACTGTAAAATTTATATTAGGTTTTATTTATTATATATTAAGTCAAATGAGTATATCGTTTGGCATTAATTAAACATTCGTCAAAGACGAATTTTTTATTTTTATATGACATGATTGGCATTGAAAGTTTGTTCGGGGATTCGCTGAAAAGAATTCATGGACAAGTTATGGGAATTCAAGTCAAGAAATAAACTTCTATTTATTATTGAATTATATATTATAATTATTATTTATAATTACTTATATATAAATATTACTGATTTATGGCTGAATTATTACTTTGCCTTGAATTTGGTCCGAAAATATTTCTGGCTATAAATCTGCGCAGTTGCTTGTTTCACGAAAAAGTCACATACATTTCTTCGGGTCAAAGTTCATTCCTTCCTTCCTTCATTACTCTTTAATTCTTTCAATGTTTCGTCCTCTTTCTTTCCAAATCTTTTAAATTGTTTTGCTTGGTAAACAGTCATTTTTGAAATATCTATCAAAACGAATAGACATTAGTCATTGACGAGAATCCTTAATTCATATCACTTTAATTATTTTCTATAAATCTTTGAACCTTTAACGTTATTTTTACTTCTATTACAATTCTTTTACCGAAGAAAATGGGAGCATAAATTGATAAATAGAAATTATTTGGAAACTGTATATATATAGCTCGATCAATATTAGATGCTTTAAGTTTATTGTTTATTTATTTAATATGATAGAGATATTACGTTTGCGTACGATCACAATAACGATTTTTGTTCAATCATTTTTGTTTTTATGAAGAAAAATTAAATATTTGTATCGACATTTGAATTTGTCTTTGAGACCCTATATAAAATTTTAGACCATGAATTTGAATATGAAATGATTATGTTTTGTTACTTTGTTTACGTGGTCCACATTTCTCTTTTTTTTGTGATGTTATTTATATGTGTGAAATTTCTTGTGATTTGAAAAAATTCTTTTTTGAATTTGAAAAAAATGAACGCCATAGGTAGAAGTAAGAAAAATATTATGGAAATATCAATTAAAAAAGAGATCAATAACAAAGTGTGCACGATGGAAATGATTCATTCTCGAAATCTAAGTTAGATAATGAATGAAATCAATGCATATCTTGTATGAAATATATTCTCACGTAATACATTCTACAGATATTCTAATTATATATGATTTAATTGTTATTTAGAACTGAAATTAATTTTTTATTGTATCGCCGATTAAATTCTAATAGAATTTTTCTTTTTCTTCCAACATCATGATGTCATTTATCTCATTTAATAATCTGAATTTTGCTATTTTTAATCTCATCTTATTTTTTCATTCATAAGTTTACTATCAATTCCTTCAATCATATATTTTATTTTACTTCATAAAAATAATTATCATCTGTACATTAATATCGATGAAGTAAAATAATTACATTGTTCTTGCAAAAAAAAAACAACTACTTCTTTACTTTCATATACGACACTTATTTATGAGCGTATTACTTACATAAAAAAAAAATCAAAGACAATGAGTAACATCGCAAAGATAATTGATTCCAAGTAAGTATTTTTGGAAAATTTATTTAACGAATCAAAAAATTTTGAACAAAGAAGAAAACACCGAATTAAATGAAGACGTAATAAAGAGAACAAAAAAAAATGAAAAAACACAAAACAAATTTTTTCAGACTAACTCTGTAATTTTTCCATAATGTTCTGCTATATCGATTAACCTAATCGTAATCTTTCAAAAATGCTCTATATACGTTTCTGATCGTTTTTAAATCATTGAGGAATTTTCAACTTGCAAAGTATAAATTGTAAAAATGATGAAAAACTTGTTTTTGTGATGATACTTTAGGCAAAAAAAGTAAAAAAAAAAAAGAAATAAATAAAAAGAAAAAACAAATAAATATACTCTCACAAATTATATATATACGTTATAACGCTAAATCGACAACGTATATGTTCTACATAAACCTAATATGACATAGCATAGACAGCCTACTGTTGTCAATGAATAAAGAATTATTACTTGATAAATAAGTAAAGTATAAAATAACGGATCAGGATATTAAATTTCCAACATGGTAAAAGATAATGTTAATTGATTAACATACAATGTTCCATAAAGATGAAAAATAATATTTATGATAGACGGGATTGTTACTAAACTAAATGATGAATAAATAAATGATGAAGATTGTTGCAACAATAGAATAATCGAAAATATGTTATTTTAGTTTTTAACATTTAAACATATATATATATTTACCGACAATAATCATACTACATAATTGTTCTTTTTTATATTTTTCCAAAATATTTAGTTCCACTTCTTCCATGAGTTGTTCATTATCGATGAATTTGAAGACAACTAATTATCAATTTAAGGTAAAATTCAAATATAAATATTAAATGTCTATTAAGTATATTAAAAAAAAAACAGAAAGAAAAACAATATCTATGAAATATTAGAAAAATTATACGTCAAATGACGTCAAAGTCTGATATAAAGACAAGGAATGCTTTTATTTAACTCATGTAATAATATGATAATTATTTAAAAAAAAAAAAAAAAAAAAAAAAAGAAAAGAATTTATTATATAATGAAGATTTCTACAAAAGATCATATCACTTAAGATATTTTATTTTATATTTCTCATTCGATAAAAATTTTTATCCAAGTTATATTGAAAATAAATAAAATTTGAGGATATTTACTCTGATTTGTTAAACTTTTTCTGTTCAAAAATGAATTAGTATTTAATTAATTATATAATATTTAATAATAAATAATTAATCAATTACAGCTCATCCATAGTTGTAACGGTCTTTTTTATGCTATGTATCTTCGTGTGAATTTAGTCTAATTGATATAACAACGATGCAAATATATGCCTTTTTATTGTGTATAAAAGATTTAATTATTCATGAGATATTCTCATTTGTATTAATCAAGACTATGGTATTTAAGATGAAATTATTCATTGTGCATGTCCACATATAGATTTTCAATATAATAAAAATATAATGAAATTCAATATTACATATAATCAATTTTTTTTGTAAAGTGCATTCACTTTCTGCAAAATGTTTTTTTTTTTTTACAATTATACAACATTTGACGAGTCACGTAATCGATATAATCAACTATACCTCACTAATGTTTTCGTATCGATTTGTTAGCTTCTTCTTAAGCAAATGTTTTAGATCGTGGTCAGTGAGTGACTGACAATGGTTTCAGTTAGCAGACTCTACTGCGCATGTCCGTGAAAATTAACAGTAAAAGGTATATCTCCCCTTGTTTAATTGCTGAGAATTACCATCTGCTTAAACACATATGTGGCACGCAAGTCGTATTACAAAGTGTTTGGTATTATGAGAATAAAGAAAATAAAGAAAAATTTTTAAGTTGCGTTCTATAGATTTTATTGTATTTTCAAAAACGTTTCCTGTTACCGGGTGTAATAAAAAGCAATTTGAATGCGTAATGAAAGAGAAACGTAGGGTTCTTTATTTTCTTCAATTCAGTAGTAATCTTCAGATATATCAAAATGTCCCTGAGAGGTCTAAGTTATTACGAACGGCATTTCTTTCTTACAAACCGATTAGTTCAATTATTGATTGGTTTGCGGCCTTCTCAAAGTTCGAACGAGCAGTTGTTTCTTGTTTCTACTGTAACAATTTTTTCATTTCCAGCGATTGTGTATCAGGTAAACATTCTTATTTTGATATTTCGTATAAGTATCTGTTATTTAATTATCGTTATGTAGTTATTATTATTTATATTTTTATTTATAAAAAGATAGATTTTTATGTAATTATATAATAATAATTATTATATTATTATTATTATTATTATTATTATTATTATTATTATTATTATTATTATTATTATTATTATTATAATTATCATTATTATTATTATTATTATTATTATTATTATTATTATTATTATTATTATTATTATTATTATTATTATTATTATTATTATTATTATTATTATTATATTTACGTTAGTTATTCTATTTCCTTTTTCTTTTTTTTTATTTTTCTTTAATTCTTATTTTATCTAATTATATTATTTAATATATAACCACAATTGTCAATACGTACTTTTATTTCAGCTTTATCAGCTATTCACGTTGGACATGACATCACAAGTCACCATAAAAGTACTGCAAAAATTATTATCGGGGATATGTATTCTTTATGGTTATAGTACATCATACTTTGGCTTCGTAACAGTTAGTATATATTTTTCCTTTTTTCATATTTAAAAAAACAAAAAAAAAAAAAAAAACAAAAAATATTTAACTACGGAAAAATAATATCATCTAATTTTAGATGAAATTTATAATTGCTCGTTTTAAGGATGATTACGATCAGCTGTCGGATGAGAATGAATTGAATATTTTTGAAAATTATACAAAACAAAGCAAATTGTATATGTATGTTATCATAGGTAAGAATGTCAATTGTCTATGCCAATGTTAATGAAGAAAATTTAATTATGATATTATAATTATATACAATTTTTTATTGTTTTAGTTTTCTCTAACTCTTATGTATTTCTAACTATATTTCCATGCATTTTAAATATTTTCTTTTACATCTTCGGTAAATTGGATGATAATGAACTAAAATTACCTTTATCCATTAATAATGTATTAAAACCAGGAGCGTTATATTATAGTTTGCTTATTTATCAAGTGATATTAATCTTTCTTTTAATAACAGTAGCCAGTTTGTTTATATCTATGTATTTGATATTTGTACAACACGCGTGCAGTCAATTCAGCGTTATAATGTAGGTGTTTAATTTGTGAAATACTTATTTATATTTGTTTTTGTTACAAATATTAATTGTAAAAGAGAATATGCAATTTATAACGTACTATTTTTAGGCTGAAAATTCGTCAACCATTTAAAAAGGATCAGAAATATATAAAAAGTTCGTGGTATTATAGAACATCTCGTGAAGAATATGATTGGATAGTCGATATAATAAAACGTTATACAAAAGCCATCGAGTTAGTTGAACAAAATTTTTTTTTTCTTTCTTTTTTGTTTTTCGTTTTCCTTTATTACATCTCATTGTAATTCATTTGTTTTTTTTTGTTTGTTTAAGGTTTGTTGATTTGTTAAACAAATTTTCCAATAGAACTTACATAATAATATGTTTTTTTGCGATGCTGATCGTTATCTTTGATTTTCTTTATGTAAGTAAAATATATTTGCAATAAGTGACATATGCGTAGTAGATTGCCATTTATTCGATCGGTATTTTATAAATTTTTCATTAGTATTTTAAATAAATAATTAATATTTATAACAAAAAATATTAGTAGATAATATAACTGATATTACATTGATGACGTATCTCGGTAAAATTATTTGATCAATATATTTATATATACTGACCTACTTGTGCTGTTTATTCAATCAGTATTTAAAATATTTTTAATTAGTATTTATAATAAAAAATATCAATATGTAATATAGCACGTTGTCAATATAACACCGATTAATACCAAAACTGTTAATATTTTAATTACAATATTTGTAAATATCAAATTATGATAATTTGTAATCCTGACGAAATACTAATGCAATCTTGACATATTAATTATTTATATCGATAATATAATATTCATAGATACTGAGTATTTATATTACGAAATATTTACTATTAATTATTTTTGTAAATGTTCATTATATGTCGTTTAAAAATTATTATAGAAATTTTTCTTTTCTTCTTTTATATGAATTATACCATATGGTTTTCTTTCAGATGTTTCAATTATCGGAGATATTGCATAATGTATTAGAAATAATAGATTGTTGCATTATCATTGTTGGTACAATTGTAATCTTATACCTTAATTTTTACGTCGGACAGAAACTATTGGATCATGGCAATGCAATTTTTGAAGAATTGTACGTTTCTATAAAGCTTCGTCACTCCGATTATTTATTTATCTAACATGAATAGCAACATAATAATCTTATTCAACAGATTGTCCGATAAATAAATCATTAATTACTTTTTATGGAAAAAGATTCTACAATTTTATTCTTTTCTTTTTTACACAGACGTCAAGTTCCGTTTAATAATCTTACCATAAAAACACAAAAAATGCTGTTATTTGTGATTGCAAGAAGCATGAAACCATGCGTGCTTTCAATCGGAGGTATATTCATCTCGTCGCATGAAGTTTTTTCTATGGTAAGTAAAATTAAATACTCGATGTTCGAAGTATTTTGATAACATTGAATCTGTTCTTTTAGTTAATGCAAAAATCATTATCTTTCGCTACTGTATATTATAGTATTTGTTAACATATAACTTATAATATTGCAACAATGAAATTGTATCTATTAAATAAGATGTTGATAGTAATGATTAAAATATGTATTATCTATATTGAGTATTAATTGTTTGACGTTAAACGTTAAATTATGCATTGTATTCGTTTTTTTGATTATAGATACTTTTAATTCTCGACTGTGTTCAATTTTTATCATCATTCAACTTTTTTTTCACAAGAATAGAAAATTTGAAAAACTGTGTATGCGATAAAGTTATCTAAAAATACAACCTACTATCAAATAGATGTTTGTTTTTTCTGACGTGTCCCGTTCTTACTTAGGGTTGTTCACCGACTCCGGTTTCTCAATGATTTATGTAAACAATTAATCCAGACGAAATTTTTCAATTTTTTTGATTTCGATAAATAACATCTTACTTTAAAGATAAAGGTTTAAATCTTCATTATTCATCAATATCAGTCAAGAATTACGTCTGAATTCATTATTAGAGTAAACTCCAAAATGTCATTTTTGTTGTTCTTGACATTTTTCGTATAATGGCGCTCCTTGAAATCTGCGATAAAAGGAACAAAGTTCTTACTTTCATTGCTAATTTTCATATACACGCTTTTGTGACGTGTGTTTTGTTTCCGTGAACTAGCAGATTGCTTGTTTGTTTGTTTTTGTTTTTTATTTTTATTTGATATTTAGTATTATAATCAATTATTAATTATTATTTTTGACAAAATAATCGATAAAATCTTGTTTTTTTGTCTTATATTATTTTATATACTTATTATGTTATATTTATTATCGACGATACTATGCATGGCCTTGAAAATTAAAAGTTTAACGCATAGCATCCGGTTTTTGATTTATGTAATAACTATTATATTATCAATAACATTACATCAGGTAAATTTATCTGTTCTTAAGGTACACGTGATTATTATTATTTTTATTATAGCTACTTAATTAGTGGATTTATTATTTTTTTTTTAATATATGTAATCAAAAATATGTAATCAAAAATTTAGTAATTTAGTAAAGAAATGTCATTGCATTCTATTCAATAAATAGAAATGAATTATCAGTATCGATATTTATTTTATTCTTACCCTTTTTTTAATTAATAATTTTTTGTAAGTATTTATGATTAAAGATTATAAAAAATAATATAAAAGAAGGATTTGCATGCTTTGTCCATAAAAAATAAATATTTAACCATAACTAAATCATTAATTAATTAATGTATTAGTTTGATCATAAGTAATGTCGTAAGTTTCATTATAGAATATTATATATAAATGTATATATGAACGTAAATATATAGGAATGTATATGGACATTACATTCCTCCATATTATTTATTTTTTAAAATATTCTTTTTTGAATATTTTTCTCATCAATTCTATTGTTTCAGTTAATACAAAAACCATTATATTTCTTTACGATGTATTTACAGTATCCACGTTATAATCTTATATTATTTTTTGACAATAAAAATTATGATATTTATTAATCAAATAATATAACTTATTTGATTTAAATTACAAAAACAGTATAATTAAAAAAAAAATTGATTTCAATCAAATTTAGATATAATTAAAAAAAAAGAACTTTCCATTTTTTCTTAGAGCAATACAAATATACTTACTTATGTCAATAGTATCACGTATATTGTGCATCAAAATTTTATTTCATTCTCTTGTAATTATGATTGACATTTAATTCATCGATTTGTTTTAAAATTTTTCAAAAGAAACTTTTCGCTTATATTCGAACGATTTTCTTTTTTTTACAAGTATGAAAAATACGACGAGTTGTGTAATTTGTTGAAAAATCTTTTAGTACACTGTTTATTTAGACATATGTTGCTTCTTCTTAAGTGATTGTTCTTTACGGTGGTAGGACGCTGACTGAAAAGAATTGAAATCGATCAAGCGCATTTCTGCGCATGTCTCTTCTAACTAAATATCTAAGATATAGCAACCCTTTTTTTAATCATTTGGGAACGATCATCTGTTGTTACTATACATACAAAAGAATTCATCGTACCTTCGAGTATTCGATACTATAATTTAAAAAAAAAAAAAATAAGTATCATGAAGGTGATTATTAGAACGTTACATTCTATGGATTCCAATAATTATATGGTTCTTTTTTATGTGTTAATATTTTATAAAGCGTTATACCTATTGCGAAAAGAGGTCAAATAGAATGCGTAATGAAGAAGCAACGTCAAGTTTCTTCTTTATTTCGTTTGAATAAACACGAGATTCACTGATTAAAAATGTCTCTGAGAGGTCTAGCATACTTTGAACAACATTTTCTTCTTTCGAATCGATTATTGCAATTTATAATACGCATACGCCCCGAACAAAGTACGAATGATCAGTTCTTTTTGTTTTGTGCTGTAACCATTTACGTATCGCCAATGATATTACATCAGGTAATTACATCAGGTAATACAAGTAATTACATCATGATTATCCATCATCGATTTACACAAGATTATTATTTATTATTAATAATACTATTTAAATAAATAAATACGTGATCAGAAATTTAACAAGGAAATTCTTCATTGTATCTAAAGATGAAATTGTCAATATCATATCAATTAAGATATTCATTTCTTTTTAGGAGATTTATTTTCATTTTTATTTTTATTTATTTTCTTTTATTTCTTATTCGGTAAACATTTTTAGGAAATATAATATTTAAATGTTTAGTGCCAAGCATGTTCGATTCCAAAACGCATAAACGGATTCATTTTCCGAAAGATAATTGTTTCATGGATTTTTGATCACAATTATTAACATCGTCTCGTTTGAGATCTTAAATTTGTTTATGATTTATCTCTGATTGATGATGGCTATTCAAAAAAAAATGAGATCTTAACTTTATCCGACAAATTTATTTATATAAAGAATATAATTGAAATATACTTTTTCCATAATATAAATAGCCTGCTATTTATGATCACTTATATTACATACTGATATTTTATTATAAATATTAATTAAAGTATTTATATACCTATATATTGATCATTAATTTTACAAAATACTTATTAACAATTAATAAAAATATTTATCAAATACATAGAAGTGATATAAATAATTCTTCAGTTTTGTCTATGAATTCTATTAAACAAAGACTAATCGTCTATTTGTATTCTTTTGTATTGTATGTATCTATATGTATCTATCTGTAACACATTTACATACATACATATTTATACACGTACGTGCGCACACACATGCATATATATTCTTGTCACGCAATCATTATTTTTGTGATATCCATTCTTAGAATCGTTTCTTTAGCATTTTTCTTTTATACTATGCACATTTAAATTTATGGTTATCTAAACATTCTTTATCTGCATCATACATATTGTTTCGTTGGTTTACTCATTTCTTACATTCTACAATAATAATAATAATAACAATAACAACAACAATAACATCAATAATAATAATAACAACGATAAAAATAGTAATAATTAGAATGAAATATAACGATAATAATTAAGCTTTCTTAGAAAAAACTTTCGAGTTTCGGGAGAATGATGTATGGATGTTTATATTTGTGTGTGAGTTAAGGGGATGAGAGGGATGATAGTGAGAGAGAGAGAGAGAGAGAAAGAGAGAGAAAGAGAGAGAAAAAGAGAGAAAGAGAGAGAAAGAGAGAGAAGAAGAGAGAGACAGAAAGAGAGAGAAGGAGAGAGAAAGAGAAAGAGAGAGAGACAGAAAGAGAGAGAAGGAGAGAGAAAGAGAGAGAGAGAGATAGAAAGAGAGAGAAGGAGAGAGAAAGAGAGAGAGAGAGAGAGAGTTTGTTCGAGTGGAATGTAAAATTGAATATTTCAAATATTCATTATTACGTGCAGATTTTCCCCTTCCAAACGAAATAATTTTTTATCAATTAATTTTTACAACTTAGTGGAGAAAATTCAAATAACTGGTTCAATTACACTTCCCTACCACTTTCAACACTTTCATTTTCGTTTGTCACACTATATAATTTTTAAAGAGTATCGAAATGATCAGAAATAATAAATAATTAAGTAAATATTTAAGAGTGACGAGAAAATTTAATTATATTAGATCGACTAATAAGTAATGTCGTTATTTTTCATACCACTATTTATATATTGGCATTTCTCAACTTATTAAATTTTCAATGTGCCGTGAAATGCTATTTACGTCGAAGCGTAAAAAGTTAAAATTAATTCGTAAGTTTTACAGAAAGTTCTCGTAAAGCTGTTGCTCATAAATACAGGCTTATTTTTAAAACAATATACAGTGACACCGGTTTCCATTAAATTTTTACAAATTTTATATTAATATTAGATCGATAAAAAATTGAGAAACATTGATTTAAACAATCCCAGTCTTTTTATATTAATTATTTATATGAAACAGTATTTATTTATTATCATGTAATATTTCGAATTATATTTAACAATATATTCCAGTTTTATCAGCTTTTCATGTCGGACTTCAATCTGCAATCGACTATAAGAGTTCTGGAAACAATGATACCTGGTCTATTTGTCGTCTATTGTTATTTTAGCGTTTACTTTGGTTTACTAACAGTTCGTATTAATTATTTCTTCTTGTCAAAAAAAAAAAAAAAAAAAAAAAAAGAAAGAAAGAAAGAAAACTAATTTTTACGGGAAAAAATATGTCGTTTTAAGGTGAAATTATTGTACGTTCATTTTAAACTTGATTATGAGGTGCTATCGGACGAGGAGGAATTAAACATTATGAAAAAGTACACGAATCGAAGCAAATTATATGTGTATCTTATAGTGGGTAAGCGAAAAAAAAGGAAGGCAAAAAAAAGGAAAGCAAAAAAAAGAAAAAAGAATTTCATGTAAAAAATAATTATAATTAACATACAATATTTCAATGATGTAAATATCTTCTCGTTATTACAGTTCTCATCATTCTCTATGTTATTTCAATAACGTTTCCAAGTATAATAAACGTTTTTCTCTATATTTTTGGAACATCGGATGATATTAATTTAACATTACCTTTTCCCATAAATAATGTTTTAAATGCGGGATTGATATATTACAGTTTGCTTATTTATCAAATAATAGCACTTTTTATAATAGGAATAATAGGAAGTGCGTGTTATTCATTGTATTGGGTATTAATACAACACGTATGTGGTCAATTTAGCGTTATAATGTAAGTATGTGTTTTATTTAAAAAGTATGTTTATTTTTATGTTAAATAATATCTATTAGATTGGGTAATAATTCCTTTAAAAATTTTGGATATAAAAAATAATTTACGATTAATTCGATATTATGTATGTAAATGTAAATATTGTTTTGTTTGCTTTCGTTCCTTTTTTTTCTGTTTTTTATTTATTTTTCTTGTAACATATTCATTGTAGGTGGAAAATACATCGACCTTTTAAAAATAATAAAAAACATGTAGAAAATGATTGGTGTAATACAACATCTTTGGAAGAGTGGAATTGGATAATCGATATAATTAAGTGTTATTCAAGAATCACGGAGTTAGTGAGAAATAATATTTTTATGAAATTAATTTTTTAAATATTTCCTTTTATTTTTCCTCTTACTCTTTTTCAAAGAATTTCAATAAATAATATTAGATATTCTAAAATCGTATGATTTAAACATAGGTATACGATAATGCAATATACTTTTGCATTGTTATTAAGAACAATATGGTGAATACATGAAATATGAGAAATATGTATAAGAAAATTCATAGTTGAAAGGATATTATTGAAAAAATATATTTGTTTTACAATTAAAAAATCTCATCCTTAAATTTTTATTTAAGAATTAAATTTTATTAAATTTTACATTAGCACAAGAGCATCTTTGCAATATATTAAATACGTTCCTTTACTATATATTATGATAATAATTCTTTTTTTAATTTTCTGTTCAAGACTCATTGATTTGATAAACGATTATTGTAAGATGAATTACTTAATTGCAGTTTCTATTTCAATGATACTAGTTTTCTTCAATTTTTTGTATGTGAGTAATAATACAATTATTTGATTCATATGCATATATCATAAAAAATTATAGAGGAATATTTTTTTTTTCATTTATAATAAATTATTATTTTATTTTTAATTTTTAATTTTTAATGTTTTCTTTGCTTTCAGATGTTTCAATTATCTATGGTATTGCAAAGTACAAGCGAAACAATCAAATATATCACTTACATGGTAGGATCAATTTCTGTTATATATATTACTTTTTACGTTGGACAATTGCTTATGGATCACAGCAATGAGACTTTCATGGAATTGTAAGATTGATATATACATACATATATTTATATACAGCTAAATGCCATATTCAATTGAATTAATTTAAAATGTGTTCTCATAAAAAAGTTATTAATTATTAAATATGAGAAAAAAACCGAAATATATTTATTTTGCAGATGTCAAATTCCATTCTATAAATTATCCATAAAAACTAAAAAATTGCTATTATTATTATTAATAAGGAGCATAAAACCAAGTGCCATTTCAATCGGTGGTATATTTATAGCATCGCACGAAGTCTTTGCGACAGTAAGTAGAATGTTGTTTTCAATCAATTTCAAATAGTCTTTATAATAACGAGAATTTCATTATTCCAGTTAATACAAAAAGCTTTTTCCTTTGCTACGGTTTATTACAGCATGTTATAAACCCAAACGATCTTACGACAATGGAAATACGAGACCAATTATTATACGCTGAAAAGATTCTATTTTTTTTTCAAGAAGAATATAAATATACTCACATTAATTAGATATGATGACAATCATAAGTAGTAAAGTGTATATTGCTTATCAAAATCTCCATTGTATTTTTTTAATCGTATTGACATTTCAATCACCATATCCATATTTCCTTAAAAAAAAAAATTGGAGTGCACTTTATATTTCTGCAGAATGCTTTATCATTTATGTTACACTTATAATACATACTTATATTGGATATGAGAAGTTACGTTATCAAATCGACTAAATAGTGTATTTTGACATTTGGTGCTCCTTCTTAAGCGAGTGTCCCTTACGGTGATCAGACCGCGACTGAAAAGGGTTACTATCGAGCGATGCTTTTGCGCATGTCTCTCGAATTGCAAAGGCTAAGCCTACAACACCTCTCTTTTCAATCGTTGGGAACAACCACCTGTTTTCATATTTTACCGTATTTCCAAGTATTCGATATTATTGTCGAATGGGGAGTAATATTCGAACGTTACGTTCTATTGGTTCAATA